ACTGACTAGGGAGGTGCGAACATGGATTCTGATCCTATGGATATATCAATTTCGATAGCAGATAGAGGCAGGCCGCTTCGAGATACAAAAGCAAGGCAAGACTAGTAAGCGAAGCTGAATGAAAAAAGAGAGCAATTAGAAAAACTCAAAAAAGTCAAAAAGGGAGATCTCTCACCTACTTAAAATAAGAAGATTGCTAAGCTTAAAAAGGAGCTTGGTATCGACGCGACTAGCAAGTCAGTGGATCCCTAGAGTAAGCCACAGTATCTAGAATCCACCTCGGGCGACCATAAGGGAGGGAAAAATGGAGAGTGCCCTCCAACACTAGGCAGTGGCGATTTAGCTTCACCAGAAACCATAAGACTGGGTATTTACAATCAAAAGAGGAAGGGTTATCCTGGCAGCCCGTTAACCTAGACCGCTCCAAACACGTCACCCGAAATGACTGACGAGGGCGGTGTTGCCGTAGCATATTGTCTATGCAACTACTTCGAAGGTAATTCACGGATAATTTACCGTTACGGGCCACCCGGTCATTCAAAGCATGCGTTCGGGCCATCGAAAGCACACACAACAGATGAGATTACGGGTCTTCCACTGATATCCGGAAAAGTCAAACGATCTTAGACATTCAAGAAAATGGTCGGTGGCTGTACGGCTTCCCCAACATTAGAAAAGTAGTCAGTGTTGTGACTCTGACACCAAATCCCCACCGAAAATGGAAGCCGCGAATATCCAAAAAGGGGAAATCGACGGGGAGGATGATACATAGCGCCTAGTCGAACGTGGATGTGGTGGATCGGACGGGGTCTGAAAATAGTCCGCTGCTTCAGCGAGCGCCAGTTCGGGAAACACCACCTCTTATCCTGCCATAGTGGGAATCACTCAAATAAACATTGAAAGTTCCAGGGGGAAGCTACTTTTATACCTTAAAAACGTGTATAAACCTCAACTGACCCGATCTGTTCAAGTTATTTCTTATCACTTTAGCTAGCCTAGTGGTGAAACGCAAGCAACTGTGATCTATAATGATACTTAGGTAATATTGATTGAAAGAGTCTTACTCTTAAAAGTAACTGTCAGAGATCGAGCATATATAGTAGCTTAGGCGTTTGGTCGGTGACTAAACATTGTGTCTTTTCGGCTAGATAGCATAGTGGCAAAGGCTAGATAGCGTAGTGGTAAAACCTAAGCATTTATAAACCGTCACAGTAGTTAAGGAAGCTTCTAGGAGTACTTCTAAAGTTTTAAAGCCTAGGAGTAAGAAGAACAAACTTCTTGTTCCTAGGATACTCCGACGAGCCCCCGGATAAGTGACATCGACCTCTAAAAAGCTATAGCCCTTAGACGTAAGGTTTAGCCTAAGACAATTTCATGATTCGGTATTCCTTTACGGAGCGCTTAAATAAAATCCCATGATTTATAAGAGATATCATAGGCTAAAAGGACTAAGAGCCGCAACGGCACTATACGATAATAGTATTATATAAGATCATACCTATTTTATGTAACTCTTAGGTTATAGGTGTTTTAAGTATTGTAGCTTATCTGTCTTAAAGCGGTGGCTATGTAGGTTAGACAGAGCCGCTATAATTACCTTATAGCGGTAAATAATAAGCGGTTGTATCGAATACGGGCCTAGAACATCACCTACTAAGCTAATAACCAAAATAGCCGGGCTATTAATCAATCGAGTCTCGAGGCGTAATTACACTTTCTATGAATTTTGATTTTCTAAGATTTAATGTGTTTCAGAGATAATATAAGTATATAGGAGTAGGTTGTCGGGCCTTATCTATATATCCACCGTAAGGATATAAGATAAAGTCTAACTGGTTTTCAATAAGCTCATTTATTCCTATAGATAGTACAAAATTAAGCGGGTTGGGTCCTAATCTACAAATGCCTCACTCAAATCACAACATTCTAAACCTATTATATGTAATCTAACCGTATCGACCTAGCAAATATAGACAATATAATAAGATAAATAAAAACTGTAATCTAGATCTGCAATATAAACCTAGAACGCCGAGGGCATAATGTAGAATACGGCCTTTTGGTTGTTAAGTCCGAATAGGTTGAAATTGCCATAGAGTTTCTGTGTCACTTTTTGTCGGTTATTATTAAGTGCGCTTTATAGCAGCGAAAGCGGAGACCCAATGGAGCGGATTGTCTTAAAGAAATTGAGGATTATATTGTACGCATAAGTATTGAGCGTAGAAAGCTATATAGTTAATATTGGCTTTGCTGGATACGCGTCTCCGCTCCGATAGATTAGTTCTCTTAAATATCATAACTCGACTAAAAGCTTTTAAGTCCTACTACCGGAAGAAGCATAGTCGAATAAGTAAGGGCGTAAGGGCTAGAGTCAAGAGGATGCCTATAAGTTAGAGTGGAATGATATAGACTGAAGACTAGTAAGCGAGGCTAATTATTATAGCATGGCCGATAGTTAGATTAGACACTTACTCATTAGAAACGGAAGAAGCGAGGGCTCATTTTTGTGCGTATTCGTGGTATCTTTAAACTTTCTCTTCTAGGTATAGTACTCTACTTAGGACCTTCCTAGTTTCCGAAGTAGTAGTATTGTGATGTATAAATCTCATCTAAATAAGTATTAGTTTAGGCCAATTTTGCGAAAGGTTCAGTTGTCTCGCTGCTATTTAGTCTAAATCGATATCTAGCAAGATTAAGAAGAATGTACATCACGTACATCTCCCTATTTGGCTCTTAACCATATATAACGAACTTAGAGCTCGGGCATCCGTAGGAAACGGCATTGTAACTCTTATCGGTTGTGAAATATTGGATATCGATTAGGTTGTCGGTTTTCTTTGCGGCATCAGACTATCTACATAATAGTTAGGCTTTTACTCTGGCTAAGGGGTTAAAAGGAGATAGACCTAGATTACTGAAGTTGCTAAATTTATGAGCAGATTTTATGAGGCCTTGAGGAGGGATCGGTGTTTCTTTATATACTTTGACTCTCAGTATTAGCGGTACTAGTTCTCGCGAATAGGTACTAGTACTTGAGCTCCTAGGATCTATCCTATCTCACCAATTATATTGTGGCGGCACAAAAGGTCTAGAAGCTCCTAGGAATACCTACTAGGCTTCATTTGCTTATTATGAGGTGTTTTATTTGTACTAGTTAGAATATATCGGGCAAATAAGAGGTCGCCAATGCTATTATGGGAGGCTAGACTATCTAGTAGACGTGGCCTATACGTCTAGAATGGTTTTGCAAATGTTCAGGTCGCTATAGTTAAAGTCGTATTCCTAGGAGTAAGCGGCAAACAGCAATAGTGACAGTCCGTCGAAGATCAAGCGGAAAAAAAGAACCAGAATAAATCACCAGATTGGATTACAAACCAGTTGGGTGTTTCTAGAATTTTGTAAAACCAAAAATTGAGGGTGGGATATTTTACGCAACTAAGTAGAGACGGTATTCGGGATGGGAAACTCGACGAGTTGAATGGTGGCATAGCCGTAAGATAGTAATGCTAATGAATATAGCCCTACTATGCTGTTAGAGACGAAACAACCAGGATCAAACGCTATGCCATTCTTTCGTTAAGGGGACAACGGTCGAGTGTTTTGGTCAAAAACTGCATTAGATGAGGCTAGTGTGGTGCATTTTATTGAGGTAAGCTGCTGACTTAGCTGCTGACTTAGCTGCTAACTTAGTTCTTCCGCTTCGCTCAGGTCGCGCTCAGTGAGTAGGATCGGGGTGCTTAGTGAGCAAATCAGAGCGCTCAGGTCACGCTTAGTGAGTGGGATCGGATTGCTTAGTGACGGATCATCTAGCTTACATAATAGTTAGGTGATGCGCAGTGAGCGAAAACAATGCTTATATAATGCTCAGGGGCGTGCTCAGTTTTACTCAGTGAGCAAAAAGCGGCATGGGATGAGCACTAAAACGGAAAGGGAAAGCCAAGACTTGTCAGACATTATCCTGTCTATATGTAGAGGTCAAGTTAAAGATGGCATGAAATGAACGCCCTCCCGGGTTGAATAGGTACTCTTTAGGTATATATTTATAAATTAGGCCCTAAAATATCGAGATACTGTCCTTTATCTACTTTTAGTTCTCTTTGTGTACATTTCCTTCACCTGAATTAACATTTAACGTTTATTCTGATGTTTCGTTCATATGATAGTGGGCTCTCTCCCTTTTTTCAAACAATCAACATAGGGTACCTTTTTGTTCCCTCGAATCATAGAGCTAGAGACCATGACTATCAACAATTGCTAGACCCGGACAACTAGATCAGCAATTCTTCGGTTTTGAGTAGAACCTAACGAGAAAAATAAATCATTTGTGGTAGAATATTAAAGGGTATTGTAAACCAGAGTCTTATATTTTCAATGTAGCGGATGCCCACCATGATGCCGTCCCTATCCCTAATACCATTCCCTAATGCTCCAAAGACATCGTCCTCACTTCCTTCGTCAAGACAGCACAGACAAGCAAGAACCAGTCTGGTGTAATTATCTCCAACTAAGCTTGGAAGTCGATCCTTTGTTATGGTTACCGGTTTATTCTTGGTGGTACATCCACCATGGCGAGGATCCTTCTCGGAAATTGCATCTTGTGTGTCCAAATCCGACCAGGGGTGTGGTTGGCTGTCATCCGACTCCCACTGTACAAAGGAATGCCACAAGCCAATCTCGAGCAAGCAAACCCCCAGGTTGTATATATCAGCTGCATGATGTACGCTTCTTCGGTCCATTGCCCCTGGCGTACAGGGTGACGATATATGTTCTTATGCTACTCAAGATCTCCCATGAGATCCCGTCTGACCGTGGGCATGTCGAATACGCTCGAAGCCAATAAGGAAGGATGGCCCCACATCAGTGATAACATCTTTTGATTACGATTATTGTTTCAGGGCGGATACCCTTGTGGACGAATCCTGTCGTGTGGACAAACATAACTGATCTTGCGAGCTGCTTAGAAAGTTGAATGCGTTTTGTCAAAGATAACTTTGCATTGCTCAACAGAAGGCTTCGCAATGTCTGGGATATTTGAGCTTGTCCAGTATGTCCAAAATGTATTCAAATTGTGTGGTTGGGGAGGTTTGTGCAGAATCATGATGGACCTCAACTGCGCCGACGCATTTGAGAAGACCAAAGGAGCCTGGGTCAACATGCATGAGCATGCGCGCCAGATCTCGGACATGGCTTTTGACTGTCTGGAGGTTGGCGTTCATTCCATAGTTTGTTCTGTCCAACAGGACCCGACGTCCATTGTATCGTGCGGTATAAGTATTCGTGCCCGATATTTTATCGCGGTCCATCCCCGTAGAGTCTTCCGACTTGAAAATCGAGTCCGTAGAGTCATTTCTCTGTTCGGAGACGCCACGAATAGCGTTTCTGATCTGGATGAGTCTCGTCGAGAAAGGGGTGCTCCCTCCATCGTGAAGTTTCTCATCAATATTCGAGGCTGATAGAAGTGTGATTAAATACCATGATGGATCAAACCTTCGCTGCCATTGTTCCAGATCGGCCACGATCTTTTTGAGGCTTTTTACTAGGTACAGCACTTTGGCTCTTTCCAGAGGCTTGGAGCTTGATAGCTGGCGATCATTGCTCTTTTGAAGTATATCCCGAGCCCAATGAATCTGCTGATAGAAACCTTGGATGGCATCTGCATAGTGCGCTTGTAACGAAGGATATAACGAAGAGGCAGAGCTCCATAGTCGTCCCAATAAGGTGACCTGTACCTCTGTTTTGAGCCAAATTCCTTCGATGATCAATGCCAGCTGCTCGATGTCCTTGCTGAGGGTCCGTATTTCTCGACAAATTTTGACGAGTACTTTACCATATCTAGAAAGCGATAGCAAAGATAACTGTCAGCAAATCTTTTCATTTGACTTGACTCCGGAGATTGTTACTTGACACAAAAATCCAACGTCCCAGCAACAGCTAGCGCCAATGACACAGCCTCCATTTCGAGTTCGCCGATAGTCTTCAAGCTGGGTCATGGACAGTGGGTAATAAGTACGAAAACATTAAGCCAAAAAAAAACAAATGAAGTTGTATCACTAGCAATCGGATCCAATTGTGTGGAGGAAAGTCTGGGTGAGGTTCTCACAGAGGAAGACAGCCCACCTGGACTTGGATGCTCAAGCTTGACAGAGATTTCAATATCAAAAGGATCCGGAGTCTCCTACATATTGATAAAAGAAATTTTGACACGATCTTAACCTACCACCAAAATGGCGTCGTCGATCACATCTGCCCTAACGGGGATTACAATTGCACTCCAAATTCTGACTGTTACCAAATGTAGCCTTTGCAGCCTTTCTGGCCAGGATTAAATGTCGCAACTGGACTCAATGTTGACGTGAAAGAGTAGAGAATATGCAGTCAATCATTCAAAGTTTGCATTTGTCTCTATAACACGCAAAACATTATCGGCCCAGGTGAGGCCCCTATTCACTAAGCGAATGTAGGGTATTGATATCACACTCAACGCTGCAGGAATAAACTAGGCTACTACTTGTATGATAAACTAATGCATGTCTCAAGGTAAAAATTGGGGTGGAGGGGTAATCTACTTCACCAAGCCCATCAAGGCCCTGAGGATCCGAAGATGACTCAGCAGGGCTCGCGACAAAAAAGAGCTCCATAAATAACGGCTTCCCGCGATTGAAGAATTCTCATAGAGACTTTGGTGAGACAATTGACTATCGTTATTTCGCATGACCTTCAATCGCCCCCTACCCATTTCCGGGGCGTGGGAGCACCCTGATGCTTACATTGAGGCTCTCCTCTGCTTCTCCACTACATCTGTGCTTTTTATGAACTTGTGCGGTGGCGTGCACATGGTCGACTTTTTGACCCGAGAGCCCGACCTCTATACAGCAATTCTGCCAAAAGATTGGATTTTTTTTTTCGAACAGCATGATATTCAAGATATCATTCGTCTACTCCTACGAGAGGACATTGAGCACTTACGAGGCGCCGGCGAGCCTTCCGAAAATCAAAGCAGCCGTACTTGGAATGGAGGAGCATTCCCACCCCAGAGCCTCTTGGACTACATTTTCAAGATCCGTCTACTGACACTCCAACGAGAAATGTACATCTCATCTTCGAAGAGAACCGAATTACCAAAACAAGTTGCCATGCATATGAACCGAAAAAAAGTACACGAGGTTGAACGCTTTTCTCAACATGTCGCGTCTCTATCAGACACTGTCAATAAGCGTCGCGGTGAGAAAGTCACTCATATTGTGGATTTTGGGTCTGGACAGAACTATCTTGGACGGACACTGGCCAGCTCGCCTTACTACAAGCATATCATCGCGATTGAGCGCAAGCATCAGTACATCAGCGGTGCAAAGAGCATGGATGTTCGAGCCAAGTTGGCAAAGAACCCGAACGCCCGATATTTCCACAAGGACAAAAGTTCATGTGATGGCTACGACGGGTCTCCAGAAGTGACTGTTTCTGAAACGACGGATACCTCCCAACCAACGATAGAGGGCTCGCGGGTCTCAGACCTTCCTTTTTTCGAGATGCTGGGCGATATTAGCCTTCAACCTGACGAGCTACTGGGATCCCCCACCAAAGGCCCATTACAAGAAAAGGTACCGAAGCCAGAGATCCATACCCGTGGTACGCTCAGCTATATTGAGCATGAAATCCAAGATGGCTACTTGGAGCCCATTATCGACCATATTATCCATCCAACCCCCGCTGAAGCTTCTCATGGGAAAAGCAAAGAAGAGAGCGATGCTAGATTGATGGTCGTGTCCCTTCACTCGTGCGGAAACCTTGTTCACCATGGTCTACGATCCCTGATTCTAAATCCTTCGATTGTGGCTGTCGCTATGATCGGCTGTTGCTACAATCTGTTGACGGAACGCCTCGGTCCAAACACACATGACCTCCCTATTCTTCAATCCCTCCACCCTCGTCTTAAAGAGACTGGAACTTCATACGATCCGCATGGGTTCCCTATGTCTAAATACTACGAGAATTACCGAAGTCCCGGAGCAACGACCGGCGTGAAGCTTAACATCACAGCTCGTGCACTGGCCATGCAAGCTCCATACAACTGGGGCTTCAATGACAGTGAAGTGTCCTTTACCCGTCACTTCTTCCGTGCTCTTCTCCAGCGTATTCTCGTTGATCGAAGAATTCTTCCTAAGCCCTCTGTGCCGGAAGACGCCTTCTCTGACGGAACCTACCCAGAAGCTAAAACCAACACTATTCTCATTGGAGCTTTACCTAAAGCTGCTTTTAAGTCCTTTACTGCGTATATTCGTGCTGCGACGATCAAAATGAGTCGAGACCCAATATACGGTTCCCAGGTGCAGGAGCATATTGCTACCCTGACTGATGAGGAGATTCATTGCTACGAGACTCAGTACCACCACGTGAGGAAACATATGAGTGTTGTGTGGAGCTTAATGGCGTTCAGTGCTCAGCTTGTCGAGGCTATCATTGTTGTGGATCGGTGGCAATTCCTTCGTGAACAAGACTCGGTCAAAGACTGCTGGGTTCAGCCGGTGTTCGACTACAGTGAGAGTCCGCGTAACTTGGCGGTCATTGGACTAAAAAAGTGATGAGTTGTGGGAAGAAGAGTTTTGACCTGCATTAAATTTGAATTAATTGTAGATACATATACAGGAGATCATAGCGGAAATATTTAAGTCAATTGAGATATAAATCAATCATCATCGATGAGAAGCCCTTTCAGCTCAAGTTAGAGAGCCTTCACTCACTAACTCCTAACTTACTGTGGTGTCGATACTAGCGCGATACTAAGTAGGGTTAATGCCTGTGTGAAATACCCCGACTTTTTTTAAGATTTCAGTTCACGCCATACCGTAGCTGTTCCACCGTCATCTCCATTGACACCATATCGGAGGGTTACGGTGGAGTCGTACTTAGGAAAAGTTTTGACAATTCCGGTTTAGCGCCACCGGTCCTTGTGCATGCACTGGGACTTGCTCAACAAATGGGATATCCAAGATGCCTACTAGCTGTTTCCGAACTCCTTTGGAAACTAATGCCGTCGCGCCTGAGCCAGCAGTCGATACTAACAAAATCCCGGACTGGAAATTATCCGATGGTGCCTCTACCGCACAATCAACGAAACGCAAAAGAGTACAGGAAAAGGCGGTCTTATTTGAGCGGAGACGAACTTTGCGCTCTTCAGAACGGGCAAGACGTTGATTTCAATGGTCACGTGTATCTCTGTATCTGTTGTTTTTATTCTGTCTGACAGCAACCTTCGAAATCAGATATACCTCCATACTCTCGCGAATTAATTCCTTAGCCTTAACTTAAACTATGCTAACTATGGTGTGGATGTAGATCCCCCGCCTCTAGGAATATATCTTGTATTTTACGTAATGGTTGGGACCTGTCATGATGTATTATCTGTTCACATTTTCTCCTTCACTCCTTGGCCATTACCTTGAGTGGAGGTTCGGAGGAAACAGACACTACTAGACTACTAGGCAGTGTGGGATCTTGGGATTGGCAAGGAATATTGCAATTCATGGAGTCTGAAACTATCTTCCATACCTAAATGTTGCGTGTGGATCTGCGATGCATTTAGAGACGTCTATGTATGAATTTCAAAACGAATTGTGAATTTTTTTTATAGTTAAAAATCTCTACCACCAGGCAGTTCGTGCCCGAATAACCATCAACAAGCAGCCAATAGCTCGACATAATGAGCCAATAAGCAACATCATACTATACAGACAAGCATTAGACAATTATACCCAAAAAAAGCTTTTGCCTTCCGCTTACCAGATATCAAAACCTGTGCGATTAAAGGTATACCCTGTATCCTGTGCAGCTGCGCCCAAGTCAAACAGATATGCGAAAGGTGTGACGTGCTCGCTAACAAAGGCCTCCGAGTACCACATCTAAAAAATGTGTCAATTGTGCATACATATTGATGAGTAGATGAACACCTACACCGGGACTCATATACCAAAGCCATTCCATGTGCCATCCCTTGACCGTTGGTAGACGTGGTTCCGAACCCCCAAAAACGGCAATGACAATGGTCACCAAGAGACAGACTAAGGGGCCGTTCTCACGACTAGACACTGCAGCTACGACAGAACCAATGCCGTAGATGCCTGTAGTTTTGGGCAAGTTAGTGTTCCAGTGTCTCCTATGAAACGGACGAATTGCACTCACAATAAAAGTAGAAGAAGTTGAGCACTAGTAGAATGTTAAATGAGGCATGAGGCGTTGCTAGTACCGCATATAATGTTGTATAATGGAATGCAGCAAGAAAACTTCGAGGGAGACTCGAAAGAACCTTTCCGACGAAATAAGCACCTTCTGAATGACCCGAGAGTGACTCTCGCTGGAAGATGAGAACTAGGGATTGGCGTCAGCAAGGCAAACCGAGCTATATATGAAACAATGGAGCACTTACTCTCCTCTCCGAATATACCGACACTTGGGGCGGCTGCAGCAAATGCTACGATAAACACTTCCAGTTAGTAAGGGCTGAGATAACGGAGGTCAGTGACATACTTATAGCAAGACAGCCTAGAAGCCCCAGCTGGGTCACAAGCTTGTAATTGACGGCGCTGGACAGAACCTCAAATGGTGGCAAAAACATGCCCTGAAATATCTGACCACGAAGCTCGTATATAGCCAATCCTATCAGTAATCCCGTCAGGATTCCGCCCATTATTTCCGTCAGAAACATGGCAGCCTGTCTGCTCTGCTGGATAATGTCGCGGAGAAGGCAGAGGTACACTTGTCTATACCAAGCGGCAACTCTTCTGTTGTATTTTGCCTCTAGTTCATGAAACAATGACATATTCATATTTGACTCATCATGGCAGCCTGAGGTCACAGGTTCCATCTTGTCATGTGGCAATTTTTGCTGCTTGGGGTCTACTATACCGGCGTCCGCTGGCTGGAGTTTCCCGGACACAATATCCATGATGAGATCGGCGGGATTAAGATTGGGGTTGAAAACGTATCCCTGAGCTTCAAAATGCCGTTTTGCCTCCAAGGCCTTCCCACTGTATACGGCCTTTCCCAGATCGAGAATCAGTAGATTATCCAGCGCCTCAAAGATTTCGACACGGGGTTGATGGATAACGCAGATAACGGTAAGTCCCTGGCGAGAGAACAACCTAAGCAATTCCATTATTGAAAGAGCTGCTTGAGCATCGAGTCCCGAGGTTGGTTCGTCTAAAATTAAGACTTGCGGTGCTGCAACCAGCTCCAAGGCAATGCTGACTCTCTTGCGTTCTCCTCCTGAGATGATTCGCCGCTGCTCGGAACCCACAACGCTGTGTTTGACGTTACTGAGGCCCAGGCCGTCAATTATAGCATCGACGTGCTTCTGGATTATCTCGTCATTTAATGCGCCCCCAAGCCGGATACGCGCGGAGTGAAGAATGTTCTCAAAGACAGTGAGGTGTGGGTGGATAATGTCATCTTGCGGAACAAACCCGATTAGCGTGCGAAAGTTGTGTCCTCTAGTCGGGATATTAGTGGGATCAAACTCCGAGCCACGAATATTATTGTGATTGTGATGCGTACTTGGCCAATCTCTTCTCAATTCCGTTTAAAGATAAAGACCCCGAGGTTGCCCTCACCTTGCCAACAAGTATATTGACAAGCGTTGCTATAGGACGGAAATAGTCAATTTTACATCGACTTTCCCATCTTGGTTGATACATACTTTTCCCAGAGCCAGATTGTCCCATAATACCAGTGAGACTGCTTGTTTGTGCTTTGCCATCGATTTCAGAAAGAATGAATTCAGTTGATTTTGGCTTGCGAAGGCAGACATTTCGAAATTCAAGTTCCATACCCACATTCACTGTGTCCTCTGAAAACAATAGACCTAGCCAATTTGCGGGCCCTGTCAGACAATTAGATGCCGGCTGCATTTCCAGGCGTGACTCTTGTGTTCCAGGTTCATCTTTCCCCTCTCCTCGATTTGGTCGCCTTTTAATATGTGGCCATAAAAACAGACATACCAAAAACAAGTCTAGAAGACCACAAACTAGGAATCCGAAGAAAGGAACTTCATGATCACTGCCTTCAGGGCATCTTGAAAGCTTTTTGCATTTGAGCGGTTTGACGTTACCCAGCGGGCAATAATGCCCCTTGGGGCAAAGTAACTGCTTTTTCCCGCCGAGAGGGCAGTAGTAACCTGGCCTACATATTATAGGTTCGTATACACCTTGTGGCTGAAAACAGGTATTTTGAACGGCTTGGAGTCGAGTAATAAGGCATTCAGAGGTTGGTGCGCAATAAGTTGGGGGGTGCTCCGCGGTATTGTTCAGACCTATATACAGGAGGTTTGTCAGTTTCTCTCCATCTTTATCATACGCATTTTGATGAGACGTACAGTAGAACCCAGGGTTGCAAATGTTGGAAGAAGAAAGTGCAACCGGGTTCGCACCCGACATGCAGAGGGTTGAATTCAAACTCATTCTATTTTGCTCGTATGGCTCCGTAATGAAGAACTTAGTCTGGCCTGCGCGATTTAATGAGAAATTAAATGGTGCTCATCAGATGAACATATAATCTGGAGACTGGAGAAAGAAAGCTGAAACTACATTGATAAATATGTGTTCTTTTTTCTTTCCTTTTTCCTCGTCTTTTTCCATATTAAGGACGGCAGAATTATTTTATTTGCTTTGGGAATTCGACAACGAGTATTTGCACGTAAGGGGGAGTGTACCACAGATCAGGGGGGTGGTAGGTTGTACGCTCTTTGTTGATATCGGCCCGTCTGCTATGCCAGATTGGCATCGCGGCGCCATCCACATTTCAATAGTCAATAATACACGTCAAATCCGAACCCTCAGGTGCCACTGTCTTCCACTGAAAACCACCCGCGCAGTGGCTCGTCACATTCATGACTCATCCCTTTTTGGAGATGTCATACTCGATACAGCAACAAGTAACGGGCAATAAGCAATATGGTGGGTAAATGAATATTAGTTACTTTACGGTGGATATAATGCTGAGTTATTGAAAATATGCTTTTTTTACGAACAAGAATAAACAATAAGCAACATTTATGCGGCGGCTAAACGAATATTATGGTTACTTTACGGTGGATATAATACAGTCATTACACGATAAGTTCTTTGTATACTCGGCTTCTCCTGACCAGCACATTCCTGCTGTATGTGGAATCGCCTTATATTGAATTTTTACTCGTGCGGTAATATGCTATTTTGCTTTTTATTAGCCTCTTCGGATCCTTCAAGATACGTAGTCCTAAATGAGGATGTTGCTGGGCAAGCAGCGCTGTTCCAGAACAAATATGATCTGCGAGTAAACAAAAGGGTCCAATGTATCATTACAGGGCCTAGTGGAATAACTGCGTGGGATGACCCCATATTCCCATCACTTAAAAGGCGGAGATTCCCCTTGAGTAATTTTATTTTTGTCTTCAGATTTTTAATTTAGGTTTTCCCTATTGGAACCTTGAACATTCATCAACAACCGGGCTCTGTTTCAAAGTCATTATGAAACTAAAAGTTAAAATTCGCAAAGCATTGTCTGGTAGATCACGATCTTCAATCTTGTTCACTGGACCTGACGCCGATGGTTTCTTGCACTCCGAGCCCCTGGAAAATGTTCATCAGCGACCATCCGGTGCTTTCACCGTGCTACCTAGCCGTCTCCATAAACAGGATGCGCAAACAGTCGAATCAGCAAAATTGTTTAGTACTGAGATGATGGCGGCGATATCTGGACGACGATCAGACCTCCCTTGCCATGTGGGCTCTTGTGTTGGCCACATGTCCAGTCTCTTATACCCCGAATGCCTACCAGAAAGGCTAGATACAGTTGCTATGATATTGGAGGGAGGTACTATTCATGATGGTATGAATATTAACACCATTTTCGATTTATTCAATTGTAGGATGAGCAATGCTAATCTAAAGGAAAGATATTGTCGAACGAGATGACCTGGAACCTGCAATGGATCATCACCGCATGGTTACCTCAATTCTGGGTATGACTCAGGGAGTCGGTGCCATCCAATCGGTACGAGGTCTAAGGGGGAAAGAATTTGTGTCGAAAGTGGCGCTTGAGTTTATTGCGAGATATGGAACAGAAGGTAAAGTCCTGGGGGAAAAAATTTTGGAGTTTTGGCTTCGGCCGATGGTGTTTGTGAACTCAAACCCCACCACTTTCGAAGATTCTGTATCCAACCGAATCGTAAATATTGGAACGAGGTATGTCTGGCATTGCCACGGTACGGTGTGGAAATAATTTCTTCTGACCTGAGTATAGGGCGATATGGGGCATCCTTGAATTCTCTCTTGGCATTCTGTTGTCAGATGACGAGATGAAACAGATTAAACACATTGTGGATGTCGCTGATCGGATTTTCGCCAACACAAACGACTACTTTAGTTGGGAAGTTGAGCGAGACAATGGCAACAGGGTACAAAACTCGATAAAGGTATTAATGGAGACAGAGGGCAGATCCGAGGAGCAAGCCAAAGAGAAGCTCAAAAACGCAATCCTGAAGGACGAGAAGAACTATCAGCACTTGTCGAAACAGTTCTTCCAGTCATCCCCAAATGCCCCACCTCATGTGCAGAGATTTATTGCGATGCTTGAGCTTCTGCTCGGCGGTCATCATATCTGGTCCGCTGCCTGTGAAAGATACAAGGTCCGCACCATATCAGATGGGAAAGGAATAGATATATGTACGATCGAGGAAAAGAGCGAGAATATGGCCACTCAATCCTCCAGTTGTTCAACTCTGGACGATTCCGCTCTGTTGGATCCTGTGCACTACATCCAGTCTCTCCCATCAAAGAATATGAGATCGAAAGTCATCGATGCCTTAAATATCTGGTTTCGACTGCCCGACGACAATCTGGATACGGTAAAAAGCGTGATTGATGATATTCATAACTCAACCCTGATACTTGATGACATCCAGGATGCATCGTTTCTACGACGGGGATTTGCCACAGCCCATCAAGTCTTTGGCCCAGGCCAATGCATTAACAGTGCTACTTATATGGTAGCACGAGCCGCATCCAGGCTTGCTACACATCAGGTTCAGCATCCGCAATTAGTCCAAATCCTCCTTCATGGTCTGAAGCAGCTGGCCATAGGCCAGAGCTGGGATCTCAATTGGAAGGTCACTGGACACTGTCCGTCTACTGCAGAATACTTGGCTATGGTGGATGGCAAGACTGGAGCTATGTTTGAGTTGATTATCCAGATGATGCAAGACTTTTCATCAATCCCAAATTGGCCGATCTCCGAGTTAAATCAGCTTGCAAAACTCCTTGGCCGATGGTATCAGATACGAGACGACTATCAGAACCTACAAGATGAACAGTATACGTCGCAGAAGGGATATTGTGAGGATTTGGATGAAGGGAAGCTGTCATATCCTCTCACAGTGTGTTGCGGACTTGATCCAATGGCCCAAAGAGTCATCATGGGAATTTTCCGACAACGGCAAAGTGGAACACCGCTTGCACTAAATGTCAAGACGCAGATCCTCGATATATTTCGGCACACGGGTGCACTTCAGCAGACATGGGAGGACCTCGAAAATCTCGAGAGGAAAGGTGGAGCCGCTCTTTCAAACTTGGAAGCTATAACCGGGGAGCCAAATCCAAAATTCCGTGCAATTGTGAGTCTCCTAGGCGATATACCACGTCCTACATAAGACTGCCAATAGGAAGGATCCCAGTTGATATGGCTGTGGTTGATGGAAGGTAGAAGAATGATCATCAGCCATGTTTCACCATTATATTTGTTTTTGGGTGGTATCCAGTGCCGCCCTTAGAATAGTCTATTTTTTTTATCCTTATTCATGACAACGTCTTTGCATTATCTCCATAGAAACCCTTCAAAATCAATACATAAGCTGATGTTTGACAGAATCACTGAGAAATTTTCTCCAGGTATTATCCCGACTCATCACGTCACGGTGAGCGGAGTAGTCCTCCTGATTAATAGGAGGGAAATGAGTCAAGTGTATTTCTCGTAGGATAGTAGTTCGTTAACAGCGTGACAGATATTAGCTTCTTAATCTTATTAATAAGAAATAGCAACATAAAAAACTGTTAACAAATCCTAGAAAGATCACTTAACCTATAACACTTCTAGAACAGCCCTATTCTGTCACACAGAGCGTTTTAAGCACACAGCACACTTAACCCGGTATCACTCTTAGTAGAGCTAGAGGAGCTCTTCTTAGATTGCTGTATAGATTTTAAGAATTCCACTCTTATAATAATTTAGACACATTAGCTCTTGCAATTCAAAGCATAGTTCTAACAATCGGATATCCCTCGATGAACAACTCCGTCTCTACTATTATTAGCAAGCTATATTTATATGAATACATGGTGGCTTTACCTTAAAACTGTTGCGAACTACTAATATTCTTCTATCTCCTATGAATTATCAACCTCAATACTTATAGAGAGATTCTATACCGCTTATTTGGATGGAGTATATGCCCGGGAAGTGCAAGCGATACATTGAAATAACCGGGGATATTATACGGACGACTGGGCTTTACGAAGAATAGCGGTAACTATACGTATTAACATATAGGAGTAATGTATTCTTTCTGGATGATGGCAAACATACACCGATGCAAAATATGTTATCGAGCTTGGTGTTTGTAAGTAGATTTTGACAGTGATGACCTGCAGGGATCTAAGAGCGAATCTACATCTCCAATATCTGTGCTTGACACTGTTTCCTGGTAAGCCTTACTCTCGGTCTGATACTGTCTTGAATGTGAACATACCATTTGCCAGTAAGGCCCCTTGTTTCGAAGCAGCTCGTGATGCGTCCCCCTTTCCAAAATCTCCGACCCCTGATGTGAGACACTCTCCCCAAAGACAAATATACTATCTGCCTTTTGGATGGTGGCCAGTCTGTGCGCGACAGCGATGATAGTCATATTGCGTTTCACGGCTAGGCGCTCCATCGCCTCCTGGATGAGTTTCTCAGACTGAGAGTCTAAACTGGACGTTGCCTCGTCTAAAAGAAGAACGAGCGGCCTCCGGACCAGAGCCCGTGCAATACACAGACGCTGTTTCTGGCCGCCACTGAGCGATGTTTGCGCGCTGACACCAAGATTCGTGAGGTAGCCGCTGGGAAGGGATAGGATGAAATCATGAATTTCGGCATCTTGGCATGCTCGCACCATCTGTTCTTGCATGAGCTCGTCGTCCGTGTTGTCAAGACCCAGGAGTAGATTGTCTTGGATGGTGCCGTCGAATAGCCTTGGCTCCTGCGCGACAAGAGAAATGCATCTTCGGTAGGAAGAGAGCTCTATAGAGCGGATATCACGTCCATTGAATAGGATAGAGCCGTGTGTGGGCTCGTAGAATCTTTCGAGTAATGAGATGACAGTGGACTTCCCAGCGCCAGAGGGTCCAACAAATGCAACGAATTGACCGCTCGGGATTGATACGCTGAGATTGGAAAATGCTGCAACATTCCGAGAAGAATATTTAAAAGTAACGTTTCGGAACTCGATATCAGCGGTGCGGTTCTGGTCAGGGAAGAAAAGCGGTTCTGTCGTGGACATTTGAAGTTGACGGTTGGCTGTCAATCGGGTACTGAGAATACGGTTGATAGAGGCCTTGGCCTGAGCGATGTTGGGACCAAAGCTGAAGAATTGCCCCGCAGACTGGCCGCCTTGAATGATAGCAATATATACCACAAAGAATCCGGTGGTATCGTATTCACGAGATGCCAACAGCTGTCCACCGTACCAGAAAGTGAGAGCCATTGCGCATAGTTCCACACTGTCTGAAAACGAAAAAACAAGGGTTGCATACCAGGCTTTTCGAAGTGCTTTTTTTCTTTGCCGCTGCAGCAGATCCGAATACCGTTTGATAATGTGATCCTCCATGGTCAAAGAAGTGACAGTTCTAAATCCACGCATTGCTTCGGCTGCAAACTTCGAACTGTCTTTGTACACTTCAGCGTTTAAAGATTCAAACATGATCTCGTAGCGGATGCGCATGAAAGCAGACAGGAAGAGGAACGGCATTGCGGCAAAAAATGTAACAGCTGCCAATTTCCATCCAAAGATGAAAGATATGATGACACATCCGATGACGTTAAAAACAGATATCAGAGGAAAGACTCCGGTAGGGCCAAATAGCTCTTGGATTTGCCTTGGATCTGTTGATAACCGGGATACCAAGCTGCCAGAGGCGTTCTCCTCCCGGTCGAAATATGACACGGACTCTCGGACCATATTCATAAAATAATCCTTGCGATACGTGGACACGACAAACTACCTTTGGTTAGAGGTTCATTCCAATCAGAAGAAGTGGGCGAACTCACCATTGAGATAGAGTTTGAGGCCCATCCCAAGATAAAATAGAATGCAGCTATGGCGAGAGCCAAGATGAAGAACATCAATGCCCAGAAATTAGCTGCATTCACGAGTTTCTGTCCTGTAAACTGGAAGACCTGAATTAACTGCGCAAACAGCCAGCTTTGCAGCGCATATCCCGCTGTTAAATTTAGTCAGTTTAAAGTGTGCAACAAGGGTACACGATACTTACAGCCCGCTCCCATGGCTCCCACGATGATAAAAATATATAAAATCCAATGGCTCTGATGTTCACGGGCGATGACGCAAAACGAGCGAAAGAATCCAAATTTCTTGGACTCACGACTGGTTTGCAGATCTTCTTCTTCTTCTTCTTCAATCTCGTGAATGGAGTATTCTTGAGGCTCAATCTCCTCCTTAGGGATAATCATATCGTCGCATTCATCTTCGTTGTCGAGAGCTTCAAGTGGTTCAAGTTGTTGCGCACCAACCATGCCATGATACATCTGCCCTCTCTTTATGAGGTCCTTGTGCGTTCCATTTTCAACATTAACTCCATCCTTCATCACAATAATGTTGTCTGCTCGACGGACGGTGGAGAGGCGGTGTGCAATTATGACTGTCGTGCGATATTTTGATATATGGTCAAGAGCAGCTTGGACGACCTTTTCAGCGCGAACATCGATTGAACTAGTCGCTTCATCGAATATTAAGATCGAGGGTTGCCCGACGATGCTCCGTGCAATAGCGAGTCGTTGGCGTTGACCCCCGCTTAAGGTGATCCCGCCTTCACCGATGACAGTTGAATAGTCCTGCCACAGCATCGTCAGCAACGTTTCGGTTGATAATGGAGAAGAATAGATATTCGGACATGGGGAATTACCTGAGGTAGCCGTCCGATAAATTCGTCTGCAAAGGCCTCCTTGCACGCTTCCACTACGAGTTCCATTTTCACGGCCTCGGGTTCATTTTCCCATTTCGACCCAATCAGCCCAAAAACAACGTTGTTGTGGATGGAGTCATTGAACAGAAATGGCTCCTGTTGAACTAGTCCGATCTGTGATCTCCACCATTTCAGATCTAATTCGTTGATGCAATGATTGCCCACATTAATCTCTCCCGAGAGGGTATCTTTTGTTGAATCTGATGATGATTCATCGCCCAGTTGATACCATCTCTCAAGCAACGCGACCACGGTGCTCTTTCCAGAGCCTGAAGGCCCCACTAGTGCTGTTGTTTTGCCGCTTTTGATTGTCGCGTTGAATCCATTCAGAGCATATATTCCTGGCCTTGTTGGATAGGTAAATGAAACATCTCGAAATATGATATCGGCGTGACTGAGTGCATCCTGGTCTCTAAGGCCAGCTGTAGAAATTTTCTTTGAGTCAATGATGCTGAAAAAGGCACCTGAGGCACTGATTGCCTTTGTAATGGCCATGAGCGGCGAAGCGATACTCCCTAAGACAGTGACCACAAGGAGCACAGAGAAAAAGACCCTATGTGATGGTCAAAGATGCTGTTAGATGCGCTTGAACGGAACTTGACATACGTTATGACAGTGTTAATATTGGCGATGTGCCCCTCACGGTAGAGCTTCAATCCGAACCAAAAGGCCAATGCGAAGCTCACATACATCGCAAAGAAAAGAAGCCCCAGATGGATACCAGTGACGGGGGTCATCCGCAATCCTTCCTTTTTGGCGTCATCAACTAGTCGGGCATATTTCTTGGCCAATGGGGCCTCTGCACCCAGAGAAAAAACTGTCCGAATGGACGCGAACACGTCCCCCGCCACGGATGAGTGGTGATTATCAGCTTTATCGACGTTCCGCTGTATCTTCACCAGGAAGGGAACCGTCAAGCTAAAGCTGATCAGCACAAAGAGTATTGCCGCGCTGACTACCAATGTGAGCGCCCATGAGTATTTAAAGGCAATGGCATAGGCAGATACAAGGAGTGCAAGGGACTGAAATAGGATAGCCAGCCGATCTGAGACACTTTGCTGGATTGTATTCGACAACCCCGTGATTGAATTGGTTATTGTTCCTACAGAAATTTCGTCCAATCGGCTTATCGGCTGTGCAAAGAGTGCCGTGGTATATTCGAGACGCAATGCGGCAGATGCATATAAGCTGAGGGTTCGAAAGCAAACCTACCCGATTTTGTTGAGTGATTGACTGACAGCGGTCCACAAAGGCATGGGCTTACCATAGAAATGTATGTCAACACGAATTTGCCGATGAACAAGTAGACGATATAAAGGCTAGAATCAAAATATTCAGTTCTATAACTCAAACCATACGAATATTCTGGATGGAAGCCCAACCTGCTTTGATTGATCGAAGACTTAAAGGTCTGTTCGCTTGGGGCTGCGCCTGGTATAAAATATTGATTGAAGTCACCGACAAGTTTTCCAAAGACGATGTTCATCAACGGCAGAGCCTGGAAGCCGTCAGTCATCCATACAGAAAAGGGATAGAATTCTCGAACATACAACTCCGGATCCCATGGCGCATATGAGCCCCAGGATAACGAGGAATACCCGTCCATTTCTAGCACCGTAGGAAACAATCCTCTAAATAGAGCATCAGTCGCTGTACAATAGGGAAGGATGGCTTTCAGGAATAGTACCAAATAATTTGCGAAAGAAGGGGAGCTTGCGCTCTCCTTGTCTTCCCTATCGATTCGAAGGTTTGATTCCTCTGGAGGAGAGACCGGAGGCGAGTCCATGGCATTTGCTATCGCAACGGAAAATACAATAGCAAAAATGTTTGAAGCTCAATACCTTGTAGTTTTTCGTAGCCGTCTTACGGTCATGGTATCCGACAAGTATATTTTCGCTAGGTTAGGCACAGAAAGGAAACTACGTAAAGATCTAGAGAGTAGTCACACGAGCCCCGCATGATCACTGGCTCCGGCCTATAGGTCGGTAAACACAACCGTAAACGAATACACGCATCATGGGAATTTCCAATTCCGGTTCGTGGCGAACTGAATGTTGCATTTTAAAGTGCGGGCCGCCCTGTGGCTTACGGCTTCATGGCCGGATATGGTGGATATGGTATCCAATCGGGTGGTGGCCATCATGTAAAACCAACTACCAAATCTGATTCCCCCATTGTTCACATTACGACCTCATCCTCACCCTTGACCACTAAAAGATCTAAAATAGGGTTTATAATAGGGTCTAGAATAGAGTCTAGAAACATGGTTTACAATAGGGTCTACAATAAGGTCTAAAACGACGATTGCTAACCATGCTCTGGATGTAACCTAAGCTTGTCAAAGCCAAAATGATTGGGGGGGTTATTATTGCGAAGATTTTCGGCAGCATCATCGATATTCTTCATGAACCCCACAATCACAGAGCTGCGCAAGTTAGGGTTGGGCATGATGGAATCATGTATTGGATCTAGACAGCTGGGATGAGATTGGACCTCCAGCATTGTCTGGAGAAGGCGTGATCTTGTAGCACGCTTAGCCCACCTGAAGTGTGTTCTGCTGGAGCCACAATTAATCTCATTGTATTTCTCCTCATCTGTTCAGGAAAGAAAAGGACGAGACCTTCTCACTCTATTTTAACAAACCACTACCGCTATGAAAGAGGTTGAATTATTGTTGAACAGATGCGTAAGCACCTCTAGCGCATCACGCACCATAGGGGCAGGAGGCGCAGTTCAATACCTCGATCACGAAGGGGTCAAAGTCGGATGCTCTACAGAAGATGGAAACCACATCAAAGCAAAATCTGTGGTGGACGGGGGAACCTACACATCATTCGCAGAGGCATCGTCAGACCCCCCTAAAGAGGATGACGTTCTCTCAGAGGTGGCCACCCACTGCCACTGTACATTGGAGGAGCTAGAAGACGTATATGCATGCACCGCGCTCCAGGAAGGCATGATGGCCGCCACCGTCAAGGACCCAAGTGCGTATACAGTGGAATATGAGTTTCACCTTGCGCCAGGGATTGATGCCAAACGACTGCGGGATGCATGGGACCGGACCTCTCAAGCCAACCCGATTCTTCGAACACGAATTGTCCCCACCAGCCAGCGCGGCGTAATGCAGGCGGTGGTGAAAGGGCTGGTCCCTTGGCACGAGGAGTCCGACGATGATGGGATGCCCAATATGACGAGCAGTGTGGCCTGGAGGGCGGGTGCGCCTCTGGTCTACTTAACCCTCCATCTTACGAAGCATAGTTTGACCATGATGATCCATCATTCAATCTGCGACGACTGGTCCATTGCACTGTTACTGCGTCAGGTGGATGAGGCCTACAGAGGCCAAGAATTGGTTCACCGTCCGTTTCGACCGCTGGTTGAATATGTACAGTCTACACGAACACAAGCGGAAGCATTTTGGGAAGAGGAGTTCCGAGATGCGCACAGGGCATCCATGACTTCATTCCCTCATCTTCCAACAGCCGGGTATGTTTCTCGACCAACGCGCCAGCTAGAGAAGACATTCGATATCCAACCGAGCTCCCGTGCTGGGTTTACGGTCAACACTAAGCTACGCCTAGCATGGGCAGTGTTGCAGTATCTCTATACGGGATCCGACGATACCCTGTTTGGCACCGTCAACGCCGGTCGCGGGGTGTCGGTCCCTGGAGTCCAAGAACTGAGCGGACCCGCCGTCGCAACGGTCCCGGTTCGCGTCCGCTTATGCAAGAGTCACACTGTAGCTGAGGCTCTCGCTGCTGTACAGGAGCAATGGGCGGCCATGATGCAATTTGAACAGGTTGGGTTGCAGAATCTACTTCATCTTGGTCCGGGCCCTAAGGCTGCCTGTCAGTTCCAAACGTTGCTGTCCGTGGAACCGCGCGACGGCCATCAACTACCCGCTTTATTTTCGAAACATCAATCAACACAGAGGAACTACGACCTGTACGCATTGGTTCTTCGGTGTCGGCCTTCTAGCAACGCTATGTGGATCGAGGCGCGTTTCGATCCCGGGGTCATAGATTCTCGGCAAACTGAGCGAATTCTTTCTCAACTTGCCCATATCTACGAGCAGATCGACGAGGAGTCTGACCTGCTTCTTTCAGAGCTTGATCCAGTAAGCCGAGAGGATCGAGAGGAGCTTATGCGCCGGAATATGCCCTCCGTCACCCACACTGCCCCCCCGCGTGTGCATGAGCTCATCCGCCAGCGCACAGATCAGCAGCTTCTGGCACCTGCAATCAGCAGCTGGGACGGCGAACTCTCATACCAGAGCTTGGATATAATATCATCTGCACTGGCTGTTCGGCTATCGCAGTACTCAGTGGCTCGTGGCATGTTTGTCCCATTGTGTCTAGGGAAGTCAAAATGGACAGCAGTGACCATGCTCGCAGTGATGAAAGCCGGGGCTGCATTTGTATTACTAGATCCATCATATCCGGTTTCTCGACTGCGAACCATGTGTGAAACACTCAGAGCGAATGTCATTGTGACTTCGAATGCTCATGCCTCTGTGGCCTCTCATCTGGGAGTCACAACGAATCTCAATATCGATGGGCTCGATTTGAAGCAGAACGGCAGTGACCCTGTTCCCATACCCACAATTTCTCCCTTTGACCCTGTTTACGCTACATTCACTTCAGGGTCCACTGGTAATCCCAAATGTGTCATTGTCACCCACGCCGGTTATGCATCCAGTGCCTTGGCACATGGAGAGCCATACCACTTTACACCACAGTCGCGCATCTTGCAATTCGCATCACCAGCTTTTGATTCATGCATCATTGAGCACCTGTCTACTCTGATCATGGGAGGTTGCGTGTGCGTTCCTTCAGCTGCAGACTGTCAAAGCCGACTTACGGAAGTGATGAATGAATTCGCAGTGGATGTGGCTTGCCTGACACCGACCGTTACACGAATTCTCTCCCCAAGCCGCATGGATACTCTCAAGGTCCTGGTATTCGTCGGAGAATCCGTGTTGGCAAGTGACGTGGCCCGCTGGGACTCGCACGTTCAGGTCCGCAATGCATACGGCCCAGCTGAATGTTCAGCGGTGTTCAGCATTCAGCCACTTCTTCAGTCAGAGGACCCAGCAAATATAGGCTTTCCTACGGGAGGTGTTGGATGGGTTGTTAATCCCGAAGACCACAACCGTCTAATGCCACTGGGATGCCCCGGTGAGTTGGTTATTGAAGGCCTGATTGTTGGAAACGGGTACCTGTCAAATTCCCAACAAACATCCAAGGTCTTCATTGATGCTCCACCGTGGCGACGACAACTTGGAGATGCACCATCCCGCCAGCTATATAAAACTGGCGACTTAGTACAACACACAGGGGATGGCAGCTTCCGGTATCTGGGACGAAAGGATACTCAGGTGAAGCTGCACGGTCAACGGTTGGAGTTGGCGGATATAGAGCATCATCTCTGTCATGCATTTCCCCTAGCAGAACAGGCTGTCGCTGAGATGCTGCGGTCATCTAGCGATGATGGCCGCCCGGATGCTCTCCTTGTTGCGTTCATTTGTTTCGCTTCGTCATCGCCTTCAGGGGATGATGGGCTTGAGAAGCCTCTATTCTTGCCTCCAAATGCTGAATTTCGCGGAGCATGCTCCATGGCTGAGTCTCGCCTATCAGAGTCCCTGCCGTCTTTCATGGTTCCGGCCATCTTTTTCCCAATATCCCACGTTCCTTTGACTCCATCTGGGAAAACTGATCGACGCTATTTCCGCGAAAAGGCAGCGTTGCTATCTTGGGAGCAAATGCAGGAGTACCGTGCGGCACAGATCAAGCCACAGTCTCCTTCAGGAGCGCGCGAAGAGCAGTTACAGCAGATCTGGGCGCAAACTCTAAACAGGCCGATCAACCAGATTGGAGTGAATGAAAGTTTTTTCCGGCTAGGAGGCGACTCGGTCAGTGCCATGCAGGTGGCTGCCAGTTGTCAAGCTGCTGGTCTTAATGTAATGGTCTCCGACATATTCCGCTTCCCCAGCATCAGCAAGCTGGCCCAGAAGATCCAGGAATCCAACGAACCGCAAACAAAAAGTAAGCATTTGGCGGAGGATGCAACGGAGAGCTGGTTTGGTCTGTCTCCCATCCAACAGCTCTTCTTCGAGCATGTCCCAGATGGACATCACAGATTCACGCAAGAGTTTTTGCTCCGTGTCACAAAGCCGACCCCAGCTTCCAAGATCAAGCAAGCTGTTGAGGATCTGACAACTCGGCATTCAATGCTTCGGGCTCGTTTCAAGCAAAGTGATGATGGCGACTGGGAACAGATTGTAGGAAAAAAGGCGACCAATAACTTCCAGTACCGTGAGCACCAGTTATCTTCTATCAAAGAACATACAACCCTACAATTGATCTTTGGTGACAGCCAGAGCAGACTTAACATCGAAGACGGGCCAATGCTTGTCGTTGACCTCATCGAAACAGAGACACATGAGCAGTACCTGGGCTTGATGGCGCATCATCTGGTCATTGATTTGGTCTCTTGGCGGGTCCTGCTCCAGGACCTTGAAGATATTCTTACTACAGGGTCTCCTCTACAACCAGCTTCTGTGTCGTTCCAAAAGTGGTGCCACTTGCAACAAGCATACACAGAGGAGTCCCTTGATCCCGAAACAGCCCTATCTACAGATATTCCAGCTGCTCCTCTTCGCTACTGGGGACCACCAGCCAAATTAGCCAACAACAGATGGGCAGACACGGCCGAGCAGTCCATCCGACTATCCCAAGAAGTAACACAGTCAGTCCTTGGTGCTGCCAATGACGCTTTTCACACTCGTCCTGTCGAAATCATCCAAGCTGCCATTCTGTATGCGTTTGTTCAAGTATTTGACAACAGACCTGCGCCGGCTATCTTCAGTGAAGGTCATGGACGGGAGCCATGGGATCCAGCAATTGAAATTTCTCGGACCGTAGGTTGGTTCACCACAATCGCACCGGTCTTTGTGAGGGCAAAGAAAGGGCAAGACTTTACGGAGCTTCTCCAGCTGACCAAGGACGGCCGCCGAGCCATCCCACGCAATGGTTGGGCCTATTTTGCCTCGCGGTATCTTCACCCCGAAGGCATGAACTACTGCGCAGCCCATTCGCCAATGGAGATCCTATTCAACTACACCGGTTTGTTTCAACAGCTTGAGCGACCTGGTGCTCTTCTTCAGTTGCAGTCTATCCCCGACCAGGCATTGGTTCCGATGCCTGCGGACTTGCCGCGCTTTGCCCTCATCGATGTGACAGCATCAGTGACAGATGGATGCCTAAATATTGCATTCGTCTACAACAAACATATGAAAAATCAAGAGCGACTTCATCAATGGGTCCAGTCATGTCAAGGAATTCTTCGAGAAGTGCCTGAGATATTGCAGCAGGGACAGAGACTTACAGTATCGGATTTCCCGTTGTTGCCGAATACGACCAATGAACAGCTCCAGGAGCTACTGCATCAAATCTCCCATCAGTTTGATATATCCTTATCCAATATCGAAGATATATATCCTTGCTCCCATATTCAACTCGGTATGTGGTTAAGCCACGCGAAAAACCCGCAGATGTATTGGTCGCATATCAGGTGGATTGTGCACCGCTCATCCAGCGAGTCTCCGCTCATCGAAATTTCGAGGATCAAAGGGGCCTGGCAACAAGTGGTTGATCGCCACCCCATTTTACGCACCGTGTTTACTGAAAGGGCTGGCGAGCATAGCTTGCAAGTTGTGTTCAAGTCGTCTCCAGGAAACATCGAGGTTGTTTCACAGGACGAGGCATCATTGAGAGATGATGAGACTTTATCACCTTCTTCCTATCAGTCATTATTGAATCAGAGTCATTTAAGCCAGGAGGGACAGACACCTCATAAGCTCAAACTCACAATTCAACGTGGTGGTGATGTTTTCTGCGAACTGAGCATCCATCACATGCTTGTTGACGGCGTGACCTGGCAAATCTTCCTATCTGACTTCCACCGTGCGTATCATGGGCAGCTGGAGAGTGAGCCGACAGGCGCATACAGCACATACCTTCGATACCTGCAGACCCATCATCTAACGGGATCAGAGATGTACTGGAAGCAGTATTTGGATGGCGCCAATGCGTGTATTTTTCCTTCACTGGTGACCAAGAGCCCCAGAACCGAGCCATCTGCGCTGAATCTGGTACCTTTCAGCTTCGAAATTGCACGCCGCCTTCAATCTTTCTCTCAACACCATGGCATCACCATTTCTAGCCTGTTACAAGTAGCGTGGGGTGTTGTACTCCGCGTCTATACGGGGTCAGACTCGGTGTGCTTCGGGTATTTGAATTCCTGCCGCGATATCCCCGTGCCCAACGCACGCAAGATGTCTGGACCATTGATCAATCTGCTCATCTGCCGACTGTCCTTGACTGGGGATGCATCAGTGTTGAAGACGCTATTAGAAAACCAGGACGCACACGCTCGGAATCTCGAACACCAGCATTGCTCTTTAGCGGAAGTCATGCATTCCCTGAACCTCGCGTGCCAGCCACTATTCAACACCGCCATGTCCCTGCAGAGGGAGGCTACGGAGCTGATGCCTAGTGATTATCCGTCAGAGATCAATCTTGAAGGGCCTCTTGGGATTGACTCCACTGAGGTACGTATCTGCTAGCATTTTCCACTATAAGGAAACCAACTGACAACTGCAAGTATGACTTAACGGTCAATATCATCGTCGGCGATAAAACGATCAGTGGAGACCTCACTTACTGGTCCCACGTTGTGACCGATGCACAGGCGGAGTTGGTGTCCGATACCTTCTTCCATATTCTATCGCAACTCATTGATTCTTCCAATGCTCACATAAGCCAGCTAGATCCGCTGGGTCCAATGAGCCGTGACCGGCTGCTTCAACGGAATCAGTTCGTGCCACAGGCCGCGCGAACCTGTATTCATACCGACATCCAGCAGTATAGCCGTGCTCACATTACAGCATCTGCAGTTTGTGACACAGATGGCGACATGACATACGGGCAGCTTGACGAGGCCTCCTCTATTCTGGCCCAGAATCTCGGAGAAAACGGAGTGGGTCCTGACGTGTTCGTGCCTGTGTGCTGCGAGAAGTCCCGCTGGGTCGTGGTGGCCGTTCTGGCCGTCCTGAAGGCTGGTGGAGCCTTCATCTTGCTGGACCCATCACATCCAGCCGAGAGATTACAAGAGATGGTGAATCAAGATTTCCTGTGTCCTGTCATCCTCGCATCCACGAAGCATGTGGATTTGGCAGCCAGCATTGTTCCGAGGGTCATTCACATCGAGACTGATACCTCAAAATGCACTGCAGGTAATGAGGTAGCGGGGCTTCCAGCAGTAACCCCAAGGGCTGCAGCCTATGCGGTGTTTACCTCTGGTTCTACGGGAAAGCCTAAAGCAAGCGTTATTGAGCACCAGGCATTCCGCTCCGCAGCAGAGGCTCACTCTCGGGCTTTAAGACTGCGGGAAGGCTCCCGTGTCCTTCAATTTGCCTCGTATGCGTTTGATGCGAGTATCGTGGAGATCCTAACAACGCTTCTTGTGGGCGGGTGTATCTGCATCCCCGATGAGATTGACAGAGCTCGGAGGCTATCTGAAGTAATTCAAGATATGCGAGTGACATGGGCGTTACTCACACCTTCTGTAGCTCGTATTCTCAAACCCGGACAGGTTTCAACTCTAGAAACTCTCGTTCTTGGCGGTGAGGGCATGAGTGAAAATGATGTGCGCTTGTGGTCACCCCATGTTCATTTGATGAACGCTTATGGCCCCTCTGAGTGCTCTGTCGTCGCCACAGTCCAACCGTCTCCTCAATGCCTTTTGAAGGACCCGGCAAACATTGGATTCCCGGTCGGATGTCTCGCCTGGGTGGTCGATACCCAAGCACCGGAAAAGCCCATGCCCATTGGAGCGGTGGGAGAACTCCTCATCGAGGGACCCATCGTCGGGCGCGGTTATGTCAATAGGCCGGATCACACGAAAGCTGTTTTCCTCCCTTATCCTCCATGGCTGCATCACATCCGTGGGACTGAGCAGGGTAGTCTCTATAGAACGGGCGACCGGGCCCGGATTCTCGAGGATGGATCTATCCACTATTTGGGACGGAAAGATAGACAGGTCAAGTTGCACGGCCAGCGCATTGAACTGGGCGAAATCGAGCATCAGATCCGACAGTGCTGGCCCGAATGTGATCCACTGGTCTTCGCGGATCTTGTCAAGCCTCTCAATTCTACCAACACATATCTAGTTGCCTCGATTGTCTATCTTGACCAGAACGTCAAAGACCGCGCGTTTGAAGCTGCAGTACAGGAGACTGAACTGAGGCTTCAAGGCAGGGTTCCGGCGTTTCTTATTCCCTATGCATTCCTGCCCATTGCTGGAGTGCCACGACTGCCTAACGGAAAGGTGAATCGGCGCCGGCTGTGCGATGAAGCGTCGCGTGGCCTTCAGGTACGGATGGACCAATCCGAGGGCAGTCCAAAGACAAGACAGCGCAGGGAGGCCACCAAAGACGAGCAACTGTTACAGCAGCTGTGGGCACAGATACTCCATCGTGAAGTTGATAGCATCGGTCCGGATGACAACTTCTTCCGATTGGGCGGAGACTCTATTCTTGTCATGAAACTAGCGTCTGCGGCTGCCACTCAAGGGCTTAAACTTTCTGTGCCAGACGTATTCCTGCATCCTAGATTGAAGGATCTCGCACGACTTCATGTCTGCCAACAGACAAAACCACCGGAAACCGAAGCACGAGAAACGATACACGAAGAAGATGCCATTTCTCCGTTATCATTGCTAGCTTCAGCCCAGCGAGAGACTGCTAAGAGAGAGACGATGAGTCAATGTGATGTTACAGCAGAGCAAATTGAGGACATTTATCCTTGCACAGCATTGCAAGCTGGTCTGGCTGCGTTAACGGCAGAAAGACCGGGCTCCTATATTGCACATCACTACTTCAAACTGGCTGCAAATGTCAATCTGGATAGGCTGAAGACAGCCTGGGAAAGGGTTTCTTCTCAGATCAGCATTCTTCGCACGCGTCTTGTTCAAACCGAGTTTGGGTGTCTGCAAGCGATAATCCGCGACTGCGAACTCAGTTGGAAAGTTGCTGCTGGTGGCCAAAACAAAGATCAAGGACCGACCTGGGAGATGCTTTTTGGCCAACCGCTCATCCATTTTGAGATCGATGTGAAGCCAGAACACATTGAACTGAGCATAACCGTGCATCATGCGGTTTACGATGCCTGGTCGCTGCCTCTCCTCCTCCAGTGGGCACAGCTGGTCTACGACGACCTTGAATCACCAAAATTGCGCTGTGCTCCATTTCAGAGATTTATCCAATACACCATGAGCCAAAAGGAAGAATCTCTTCAATACTGGCATGATAAACTTAGCGGCTTTGATGCCGACCCATTCCCTTCCATTCCCTTCCCATCGTATCGACCCCAGGCGTCGAAAAAGGTCCAGCGTACCATTACGACTGGCCCGGTGATGGATGGACTGGTCAGTCGTACTACAGCGAGCCGACTAGCATGGGCTCTGGTACAATCACAGTATCAAAGCAGCGACACTGTTGTTTTTGGGGTCGTCTCATCTGGTCGTTCAGCGCCGGTCCGTGGCATCGAGTTGATGGCTGGCCCCACGATTGCCACGATACCCTTGTCTGTTTCGGTGGATAACAACGTGACAGTGTCACAGGCTCTTATAGATCTACAAGAACAGATGCTGCAACTCATCCCATACGAGCAAGTCGGATTGTCTCAAATCGCTTCGGTCGGGCCGGGAGCAATTCAAGCATGCTCGTTTCAGACCCTCCTGATTGAGGGAAGAGATGAGGCCCACGACGAGCCATTGGGCATTGCCCAGCCTCTTAAATCCTCCTCCGGGGAGGATGCGGCAAATACATATGTTTTGGAACTGACCATTATCCTCGGCCCTGATGATACCACTGTGGAGGCGGCCTTTGATGAAACAGTTCTACCAGAATGGCAAATCAAGCGGATTCTGGACCAATTTGGTCACGTTCTACAGCGTGTCCACAAAGAGCCACAGCGTTTAGTGAAGGAAATCTCGACGGTCAACCCAAGAGACCTCCATGACCTGAAGACATGGAATAGAGAAATTCCTAATCTGGACTCTCGAACAGTGATTGAAGTCATTCAAGGTCACTGTGCTTTCCAGCCATCGGCGCCAGCTGTCTGCGCCTGGGATGGCAACTTATCCTACGGGGAGTTAGATACCCGATCTGATACCCTGGCAAGGGCAGTTTGCTCTTGGGGAGTTGGACCAGACATGTTCATTCCGATCTATCTTGATAGGTCACGCTGGACCGCTGTTGCGGTTTTGGCCATTCTCAAGGCTGGTGCGGCCTTTGTACTGCTCGACACGTTCCATCCTCACGGACGACTGCGCACTATTTGCGAGGAACTGCAGGCACCTATCATAATTACCTCCATCAACCACCAAGCTGCAGCGCAATCGCTGGTGTCAAACACCGTAGTGGTGACGGCAGGTCCTGACGCTGGAAGCTCAAGCGAAATCAGAAGCCCTCCTGCCAACCCGCACCGGGCTCTCTACGCTGTTTTTACATCCGGCTCTACCGGAAAACCAAAAGCAGCTGTCGTTGAGAATGGGTCCTTTGCGACAATGGCCATCCCGTATGCTCGGGAAATGAGGCTTAACAGGAAGTCTCGCATGCTCCATTTTGCATCTTATGCTTTCGACGTCAGCATCCTTGAGATTCTTGGGACGCTGTTCATTGGAAGTTGTGTCTGCGTCTTGTCAGAATCTGAACGGACAGATCACCTGGCTCGGGCTGTCACAAACTTGCAGCCATCTCATGCGATATTAACACCGTCTGTACTGCGGGTAGTGACCCAGGCGGATTTGAGCTCAGTGCATACCATCATGCTGATAGGAGAGCCAGTCCGAGAAAGTGACATCCGGCAGTGGGCCGATAAAGTGCACCTTTTGAACACATATGGGCCTGCCGAGTGTACAGTGGTCTTCACAATGAAACCGTCTCTTAATCTCAACGGTGAGGCTGCCAACATTGGGGTCTCCATCGCAGGGGCAACATGGGTAACCGATCCCAGAGACCCTCAGCGATTACTTCCTATCGGCGCTGTGGGTGAGCTTCTTCTGCAAGGACCACTAGTTGGCCGCGGATACCTGAATAATACACAGCAAACCGATGCTTCGTTTATTCCCTGCCCACCCTGGATGCGGGAACAACTGTGGTTGGCAGATGACAGGGATACCAGCAAACGTGTGTACCGTACAGGTGATCTAGTTCGGTACGACATAGATGGATCGCTCTGCTTTGTAGGAAGAAGAGACTACCAGGTCAAGCTTCGTGGACAACGGTTTGAACTTGGCGAAGTGGAATCTCAGGTGCAGCACAATTTCCCTGCAGATATTGAAGACGTGGTGGCCCATATTATCACCCCGGCAGGCGCAGTGAAGAATCCGTGCCTGGCAGTGTTCATCGCGCTTAAAGGTAATCCTGGCTCACTGGGGCCTACTCCTTCCTCGCTGTTACCATCATTGGATGTCGTGATACCGACGGCATTTGGGGAGATGGTCAACGCTGTCAAGAGACGACTCGAAGATGTTCTGCCAGAGTACATGATACCAACTATCTTTGTACCGTTCGAACACCTGCCTCGGACCACTGGCGGGAAGCTAGACAGGTCGCGACTGCGTGACTCCGTCGCAAAGGTATCGCGGCGAGACTTGGATTCCATGTTCATGCCGAAGACTTCAGATAAGAGACGAAACACCGCAACCACCACAGAGAGCACCTTGCAGAAAATCTGGGCACAAGCACTGGGGATCGTTGCCGAACAAATCGGTGTGGAGGATAGCTTCTTCCGTCTCGGCGGGGATTCTATTTCAGCTCTCCAGGCCACGTCTCAAGCACGCGCCGTCGGTATTGCCCATTCAGTTGGAGATCTATTCCAGTGGAGGACAATTCTACAGGTTGCCAAGCGGTTCGCACCATCGCATGAGTTGCATGTGCAGCAAAGAGATCCCAATGTGGCGGGCGTAATGCCCTGTACTCCGGCACAACGGGGCATCCTGCTGAATCAGATGCAATTTGAACACAAATATGCCGCCCACTTCATCTGGCAAGTTAATACAAGGGGTGAAATTGTGGATGTAGACCGCCTTGTGAAGGCATGGAAGGCGGTCGTCTCCCGACATTCAGCCCTGAGAGTCACGTTTCAGCCAAGCGCGAGCGATGATGGTCAGTTCGAGCAGGCTCTGCTTCATGAAATTGACACACCTGTGCTCATAATACGCGGTGAAAATTGCCATGATGGCTTTGCTGATGATTCCATGCTGCCCGACGCCCTCATTGATCCCTCTGCAAATATAGGGTGGCGCAACGACGGCCAGTCCATACCGCATCAACTCACCGTTCATTCCGACTCCTCTGGAGGCGTCTTTTGCCGACTAGACATCAATCACGCCATCTTGGACGGCATGTCCTTAGCCATTATAGAGCTCGATCTTTGCCATGCCTATGATGCGCCACTGTCAAAAATGCCCCAGCCAGATCCATATCGGGAATACATCAACTTTGTTCAGAGGGAACCGCACGATGAAGCTCGCAAGTACTGGGAGTCGTATTTGAAGGATATTGAACCATTGGCCCTTCCACGAGCACGCGTACCTGAGACCGCCTCCGAGTCCTCCGCGGATGTCATGAAACGGTTGGAGCTATCGCTGACCTTCCGTGGAGAGGATATCGAGTCATTCTGTCGCTCAACTGACTGGACCCCATCCAATCTTGTTTATTTTGCCTGGGCCCTGGCACTATCAGCCTTAACAGGCTCTCAAGATGTGTGCTTTGCGATTTCAACATCAGGGAGGTTGATTCCTGTCCCTCACATTGACCGCGCCGTTGGCCAATTTTCAAACATGTCGATATGTCGTGCACGCATGGCATCTGACCTTCTACTCAACGACGTTGCTCTTCATATGCAGCAGGATTACTCCCAAATTCTATCTTACCAGTCTTTCCCATTGGTAGAGATTGCGCGAGCCGCTGGAGTTCCCATAGAGGCATTGGCCTCTACTGGTGTCATAGTTCACTACCCGTTGCCAGCGGGTATGGCGACGCCCCTCGAGACGGCCTCACTCCAACTGACGCAGCGGCGAGTATTGGACCCAGGTATTGTAAGTTTCATAGATGTTTACTTATCTCCCCGGAATCCCTTTGTTTGTCTGTCCATTGTCTAACTATATACGCCTCTTTTAGCACGAGATTGCTCTGTATGTGGTGTTCGAAGACGACGGCCAGACCCGAGCAGCTCTAACATACCATTCATCGCGTGTATCACCCTCTTTGGCCACCCAGCTGGCCGACTACTTTGATCTTGCAGTCTCAAGGATTCTTCAGCACCCGGATTCTTCACTCGGCGACTTGGTGCTTCTAAGCGACCATGATCAACAACGCCTACGTTCCTGGAATGGTGCATTGCCAAGTCCTGTGCCGTTTGGGATTCACGAAATAATCGAAGAACGCACGAAAAAACAGCCAACTCATCAAGCAGTCTCCAGCTGGGATGGTGAATTCACTTACAGCGAGCTCGATCAGCTGGCGTCACAGCTAGCTGAAAAACTGCAGAAAACAGGAATTCATGCCGCTCAACCTATCCCTCTCTGCTTTGAAAAGTCTTGCTGGACAATAGTGGCTATTCTTGCGGTCATGAAGGCTGGTGGAACCTTTGTGCCTCTTGATGCAATGCAGCCGATGGGGAGACTTCAGGACCTTTGCCGTCGCCTGAAGGTGAACCTCATCATATCGTCTACCGCCCAAGTAGGACTAAGCCGGCTTCTTGCCGATCAAGTTATTCAGGTCGGCAGTAACATGACCCTTGATCACCACGATCGCCACTATGCTCAATCCCATGTCAGCCACCCTACCAACCCTGAACAGGCAGCATACATACTCTTTACATCGGGCAGCACAGGTGCACCCAAAGGAGTCATGGTATCGCACTCGTCGTATACCTTTTCAGCCGACCAACAAATTCAAGCGTTCTCTCTGAATCCTTCTTCCCGAGTCTTACAAGCATCATCTTACGCATTCGATGTGTCTGTGGCGGAAATTCTCACTACTTTGATAGCGGGAGCCACAGTCTGCGTAGTTTCTGATTTGGAGCAGAATAAGATGATGATGACTGGGGTTTGTCCTGTTCCGGTTTCACATGCAATGCTAACTCCATCACTGGCCAGTGGGTTGGACGCGACCAGAGCCTCATCTTGGTTGCAAACCTTAATTCTTATAGGCGAGCCTGTGTCATCCTCTCACACCAGCGAATGGGGAAAGGCTGTCACTTTGATAAACAGCTATGGGCCAACAGAATGTGCAGTTTACAGCACAGCAACATCGGCAGTTCGTCCGGGTGATGATCCTCGCAATATTGGGCGGCCTTTAGGGGTCCACGCTTGGGTCGTTGATAAGGATGACAAAAACCGGCTACTTCCTCTAGGCGCTGTCGGAGAGTTAGTTCTCGCTGGGCCAGCGGTAGGCCTAGGCTACTTGGATGAACCGGAAAAGACAACCGAAGCCTTTATGCAAGGCCAACCACCAGTTTGGCTACGAGGTATGTATTCGGAGCAAGAATTAAAGCAATTGCGGCTTTATAAGACTGGGGACCTTGTCCGGTATGAAATATTTGATGGTTCTCTACGGTTTGAGGACCGGAAAGATCGACAAATTAAGGTACGGGGGCAGCGTGTTGAGCTGGAGGATATTGAACATCACGTACGGCGGTTCTTCTCTGGGGCAAGCGAGATTGTGATCGAGCAGGTGATGCTCTTGGAAGAGTCATATTCAGACACGCCAACAACCTCACCGACCGTAGCGATTCCACGCCTGGTTGCGTGCATATATGATGGATATGAGGACAACACATGCACAGAACAGGATCTTCTCCACGTTCCAAGCGACACTTTTTCTTCTACCGCTGCGAATGCTCTTCGGCATCTTCGAGACGATCTGCCGGGTTACATGATTCCGGACTTCTTTGTCTCTGTCGCCCAGCTGCCGCGAACGGTATCAGGAAAGACGGACAAACACCAGCTAAGCAAGGCCATTCAGGAAATCCCACCTCTTGAATTGCGAGCATATTTTGCTGCACAAAGAAACAAGAAGCCTTTGGAGAGCGAGACGGCTGTGAGGTTACACGCCATCCTCACTGGATTGCTTGATATAGCTCCAGAGACAGTCGGTGCAGATGACAGTTTTTTCCATCTAGGAGGAGACTCAATTCTCGCGATGAAAATTGCTGCTAATGCCCGTGCACAAGAAATGGAGATCAGTTCGCACGATGTCCTCCGACATCCAACAATAGCGGAGTGGGCCGCCATTGTCGATGCGCAGCAGGCGGACGCATTCCCCTCCCAACAGAATGTTCCATACTCAGCGGTCACTGAGGCTGAACGTGCAGCCATTCTCTCCACGACAGCAAACAAAGACCATTCTTTCGTATCAGAAAATGTGGTCGATATCCTGCCGGCCGTTGGTTTCCAGTCCTACTATGTTACCCACTCATCGCCAGTCTCCACCGCCCAGGTTTTCCCAACGGGCGTGGACATTGACCGGCTCCGTATGGCTTGCAAAAGACTCATGTCGCACTATAGCATTTTACGAACAGTCTTTGTGGAAATCGACTCCCGGATTTTCCAAGTCATTCTCCAAGAGGTTGAGCCGGTCTTCGATGTCGTCGAATGTGAAGATCCCGAGGCATACATTACCCAAGAGTCCCAGCGAAAGATTTCTCCGTCTCTGCCCCGAGGATCGTTGCCTATGAGCTTCACCGTTGTGACTAGCCCCAATGGACCGGGTTGCATCTTCATCCTTCGGATATCGCACGCCCAATATGATGGTGCCTCGTTGCACTTGCTGTGGCAGGCCCTAGCGGCCGCGTACGAAGGAAACACTCTTCCGAAAGCTGTGCAGTTCAGCGAAGTGGTTTATAATCGACTCAATGATACAAATGATGAAGCATTCTCGTTTTGGCGCAAGTATCTCCAAAACGCTTCCGCCGCCACTCTCGACTTCTTACGTGTTACCTCAACCCCTGCATCGCAGCAGAATGACAGCACAGCAGTTACCAGTGCAAGACGAGAGATCACAAGATCCTGTTTCATTTCTGAGATCACATCCTCTACTCTGGTGAAAGCAGCACTGATATGGAAATTGTCATCTGGCGGTCTAAATCGCGATGTTATTTTCGGTCAGGTCGTTCACGGACGTGGTTGTCCCATCCCAAATGTGGACAAGGCTCTTGGGCCTTGCATCAATCTCCTACCACTGCGTGTCGTCATGAGCCTCGAGTGGACTATCATGGATCTTCTGCGGCATACACAAGTCCAGCAGTTGGAAACACTCTCCTACGACTATCTCTCATTTGAAGACATTGTGCGGAAATGCACTGATTGGCCGAGCAACTCCAAGTTTGGCTGTATTGTCCACCATCAAGAAGCCGATGGTGGAGGATCCTTCGAGATGGGCGGTATTCGTGCTTCTTCCAGCTCCAGCTGGGCGAATTCAAAACTTGAGCAAGGCCAGGTCGGTATTGTATCAATGAAACGGGGAATGGGCCTCGATCTTATGATCACGGCGACCGGTGACACACTGGAACAGTCGAAAGCGGAGCTGTTGGCAGATGAACTTGTCGAGGCTATCCAATGGTTCTCCGAATTTCCGGACCGCCCTCTTTCAGAGCTAGCACAGGAAACAAAATTGTTTGGGGGGAGCTAAGGCAACCTATCAGGTTTTCTTGGAAACTATGGCCAAAAGAAAAAAAAGGAAAGGAAAAAGACAAATTCATGAACAATGAGAAGAAAGATGGGCTTGCACGCAGATAATATGTTTCTATGCATTCTTACTTGTGAGTACATCCTTGATTGATATACTCACTTTTGTTAAACATGCAGCTGACAACCACATTGTGCAGAAAGGGAAATGGAACTCGTTGACGAAAATAGGTGTGTTAGCTGCATGTTGTGCGTGATTAAATGGATATGGGTTGTATACGCAAAACAGATTGAAAATTTGTGATTTCTTATTAAACATCATCTAATACAGAGCTATTTGTGTTTATTTAATAATCTTGTGTTCAGGCTTGTTTCTACTAGATTGCCGTATGGATTGAGTGGCGTCTTCGATAGTTCCCCGATGTTATGACTCCACGATCGGACAAGACAGTTACTGTCACAATAAATACAGAATAAGTCCTGATATCGGCGTACTCCTTCAATTCTGATGAAAAATCAACATGTGTCTCTGTTTCTTATAGTCTCTCACCCAGATAAGACGTTCTAGTCCACTCGGAGTTCCAGACCAGAATTTCCTAATTAGGGTAATTTCAAGTCGAGCTCCGCTCGGCTCCGACACACCACTGGACTCCGATCGAGCACCATTTTACCTCCTGAAACCCCCAGATAATTACGGCGGATACACCTTTGTCTACTTTTCTTGGTTTTCAAATATCGGGGAAGTGAAAATGGCAACACCTCGCCGGAATGGACAGCTTTCCTCATGCGAGCCGTGCCGAAAGTCCAAATTACGATGTGACCACCGAAGTCCCGTCTGCGGTCGGTGCCTGAAAGGCAGGGCCGAGCGATGCTTCTATCATCCTGCTCCACTAACCCAGCCCCGTGCCCCCAGGGTGATCTCGCGGAGACCAAAGAGGCAACGCGCGGACAATCAGCTGGTTTTCCGTGTCGATCAGAGAATCTCCAGCACAGCCGCGCCAAGCTCGTCAGATTTACCAGTCACAGACGCAAATTCGTTATGCGACCAACATATCGCACCATGGACTGCGAAGGAGAAGCGAACTCTGAGACCGGGTGTTCTAGGGATGGTCTCTCCCAAAGATCTTTTCAGTGAGTATGAAGATAGCCTGCCTGTCGAGGAACTGGGCCGCCTACTAGGATCGACAGTAGCAACTACTGCATGTCCACCTAGCGATTCGAATCAAGTGTTGCTAGGAGCTCAAATCTTATCACACTTACAGAAGATTCGTTGGTTCTATGAAATTATTGAATCGAAGGACAAGATCGCTCCAGGATGGGTTTTGGGTCCGCCTTTGACTCGCGCGTTGTGTCGTTCCGTTGAACAAATTTATGATTCTGCAGTTCGCGGCTCCCAGGATACGCATGCGTCGCTATTCAGCCTGTCCCGTCAAATATTCGCCAACACATCCGAGGATATTCGGACAACTTCAACAATGCATTTGTCAGAGTATTTCGATTCGATAGCGGCGAGATGGGAAACAATCGGGCTTGTGTTCGTCTTGTTAGGGACAGCATTATTCCATATCCCTGACGATGACCCGATATTTACACATCGCAACCCATGGAAGCTTGAGAAAAGCCAGCTCAGAAGCATTGCCATCACCGTTAGTGAAACTTGCTGGCAATTTTCTAATGGCACCGGAACAGCGAGCGACGCTCTTTGCTGGCTTACGACCCAACAACTATCTCTTTTGACTATGATGGTTGGCTATAGCGGTAATTGCTCTTCTTTACTAACAACAAAAGAACTTGGCTAAAGATTAGATAGACTACCGGGTCTGGCAAAAGCTAGGAGACCTATCCACCATTATCTACGGATCCGGGTTGCATCAAGCTGGGGGGAATTTCGAGCAAGGCGTTCCATTCTTCCTGCTTGAATTACGAAAGCGTGTCATGGCGTGTGCGTATGGAATTGATAAGGACCTGGCGACTCTTTTGGGCCGCCCCCCTCGCATATGCTCGCGATACTGTAGTCTCCCGCTCCCCCTGGATATCACTTACGATGCGATGGTCCGCCCCCAAAGCGAGGGAGAGAATAGATTCCAAAAACTCGACGCAAACGGTTGGAACACCGACGGAATTCTGACTGTCAGCGCTATGCTTCGCGTCGCCCTACTAACTAGCTTGTTGCGCGAAAGTATCCTTGAATTATCTTTGAGCCCCAATACGAAGGACATTCCAGTCATAGTTGAGTTCGTATCCATTATAAGGCTCATGTTATTTTGCTACCAAGGGCTGACCACAAGAATCGAACAGAAAGTTGATTCAAGAATCTCGCCAGACGCAACAAGATCTTCCCTCATTTATGCATTGGTCTCCCGAACAGGCTGCAGCAGGCGTTTACAATTCTCCTCGAGACGAGGGCCGCGCATTCGCACACACAGAATTCATGTACCAGGAGTTTTTGTTGCACCGAATCTTATTAAAGCGCGTTGGGATAGCTTCACAAGGTCTTATTGAAAGCTCCCTTGATATTATCACCACACTGGTGGATACTACTATCGCGATACAGACCAGATCATATAAATCGGCAGTGGAAATTTCGTGGGATGTAAGAATTCTCGGTCTTCCTCAAAACTGCCATCGAACATCTCTCATAACCCTACTCTTCTAGATGTGCTATATTGGTCTTCCTGCAGCAGGCATTCTGACTTCGAAACTCCTCGCGGAACATCGACCTCAGATAACATCTCCATTTCGAGAGCCGCTAGCCGCAAACATTCGCAAGCTTATTATCCAAAAGCTTGGCGCTTATGTTTCCCATTTGACCTTCCAGGTGCAGCCGTACCAAGGAAATTATCAGATTGTCCAACAAGGAGCGACATATATTCGTTGGGTGCTCGACAGGATCAATGCGCCTAAATGTCCTCAACCCGCTCCATTGACTTCAGATATTGATTTGCCGGAAAACTGGCTGGACGATTGTGATTCGGAGGGTAATCCGGATTTCATGGCATGGTTTGACAACATTCAGTGGGCTCAGGACTCCCTTTTAAATTTCACCTAGCTAAACACAAGACTGGCTCTTATTTCGATGTATAACAAGCTCTAAGCGGTACCCCATGGGCTTGATCTTGTTAGGAAAACTTATTATATTTATGTTTCTTACAAAAGTCACCACAGCGATCGCATCATCTGTAGAGCATTACCCTAGGTCGCCTTCAAGCCTCATTATTTTCAGAGAGGGTGATGTGAAGCCGACTACTAGCAAGCTGTCACACTTATCCTTAGCGCTATCGACCTACCCACTCGGCTTATATATCTTACACCTCGGAGAAAAACCGAAAACACGATCCATGAATCAGACTGCCTGTAGTCTAAGACTAGCCAGCCGCATTGATAGGAGTACTCCATCGAAATGAGATGATTAGGTGTCTCCGGTGTTCAACATCAGATTTGCCTAAATAGGCAATCGCTTAAAAATGCTCCGAGTCCGACAATTCAATGTCTGTAAGTATTAATTGCGAACATTACATCCCATCGGTATAAACTTTGTACTTGAATGTGATTCAGTTTACTCACATACTAGACACCCCAGGAACAACCAATGGCCACCAGCTCATGTTGGCTACTCGAAGCCGACAATCGCTTTGGCCCTCGGATCGACGCCGATTGTCGTGCATTTGACTTCACTATCTTGTTCGAAGACATATTCTTCAGCTGTTTACCGGCCACCATTTTCTTGTTACTTTTACCCATGCGGCTTCGAGACCTCCGATATGAGTCGGTCAAAGTCAGCTCATACAAATTAGCAAGCTATAAGCTGGTAGGATTTACTCCTTACACCTTCCCCTGCCGTGGCTGATTTGAGGCAGTTCCTTCTTGCTGTGCTGTTTTCCCTACAGGTTCTTTTTGCAGCATTTCGAGTCCAAACATCTGCCCTTCATACCCGGGCTTCATTGCCAGCAGCCATACTCAGTATTATAGCGAACTTTACAGCGTTATACGTCTCCTTTATGGAGGACCAGCGATCTGTCAGACCCTCGAGTCTTCTCACCCTTTTCTTTTCAACGTCCATCATTTGCAGACTGCCTCAGTTGCGCTCACTATGGTTGATCCCATCCGTTGATGTCTGTCTGTATCTCGCGTTAGCCAGCCTGCTTTTCACGCTCGCGGTCTTGACCCTTGAGTCGGTTCCAAAAACCCGGACTCTTCGCTCGGACTATTGTAAATGTACTGATGAAGAAAAGAGCTCTTTTTGGGACCGAAGCTTCTTCACCTGGGCACTACCATTCTTGCAGACAGGATATCGGAAAATTCTCCAAGTCGCGGACATACCGGAAGTTGACACCGATCTCCAAGGACAATGCTCAGGCGATAGGCTACAGAAGGCTTGGGATTCTGCAAGCCTATCCAAACGATATCGCTTGATCAAAGCTGTGTTTTGTGCATACGGATGGACTGGCGTCTCTGCAATTACCCCTCGTCTGGCCTACAGTTGCTTTACATTCTCGCAGCCCTTTCTCATTACAGCGACTATCAATTACATTGGAGGATCATCAGATTCAGAGACTAATATGTACGGAGGTGGACTTATAGGCGCGTATGTTTTGGTCTACCTGGGATTAGCGGTAAGGGCTTATTGAATGAGAGCAATTCAGAGCGTGTCTAATGAAAAGAAAAGGTCGCGAAAGCCGTATATTGGCGCCAGACATATCGCCTACTCACAATGATGCGCTCAGGTCTCATATCTATGATCTACGACCAGACTATCGGAACGACTGCCGAGGAATTGAATGATTCGGCAGCTATCACCTTGATGGGAACAGACGTGGAGCGAATAGTGGCCAACTTGAAGAATATGCACGAGGCATGGGCGTCGATCATAGAATTAGCGGTCGCAATATGGTTATTGGAGCGAGAGGTCGGGGTCGCTTGTCTCATACCTCTTGTCATCTCACTCGGTATCCTTCTCATCTACCTCACAGACATATTTAAGAGCAAGCGCTGAAAATTAGTTTGTCTCTAGGGTGCGTGCTGGCAATGGTTCCAGTGTCACGCCGGTCTGGGCAAGCCCAAAAACAATGGGTCGAACGAGTACAAAAGCGGCTTGCAGTGACAGCAAACACATTCGGCAACATGAAGGTTGTCCAGATGCTTGGGCTCAACGATGTTATTTTCCCGCTGGTATCGCATCTACGGGAGGTTGAGATACAGACGTCCCTTCGTTTCCGAAAGCTATTGATATGGCAAGTGGCTCTGTGTAAGTAGCTTAGTCGGATGGGCACCGGGAAGTGAACTGACGTTAGATCTAGCCAATGTACCTGCTGTTCTCGCACCGTTCGCGACTTTTACAATCTACGCAATTATATCTGTCATGCGACATGGTGGTTCAATCCTCTCTGCCCAAGCATTTACATCGCTCGCTTTGATTTCTCTTCTTACAAGTCCACTGCTCATCATTTGTCAAGTCATGCCGGCAATCTGGCAGGCTGTCGCTTGCTTCGATCGGATTGAAACATATTGTGCGAAAGATTCCCGTGCAATCCTGATATCGTTATCCTCGAAATCCGAAGAATTCCATCCATCCTTGGTCTCATTCCAGAATGCAAACATAGCATGGTCCTCAGATCAAGAGCCCGTGTTCGCCAATCTAACACTCACTATCCACCCGGGAATTACGATGATTGTCGGTCCTGTTGGGAGCGGGAAGTCAACTCTGCTTGAGAGCATTGTCAACCAGCACATGGTTAAAACCGGATCCATGACAACTTCATTCTCAAGAGCAGCCTATTGTCCTCAGATCCCGTGGATTAGGAATGACACCGTACGGAGCAATATCATCGGATTTCACGCATTCGATCAAGCATGGTACGACTTCACGTGTGCGGTGTGTGGCCTACAAGATGACCTGGTTTCTTTCGCAAAGGGTGATATGCATATAACTGGAAGTGACGGTATTGCGCTTAGTGGAGGCCAAAAACAGAGAATTGTGAGTTATCATGGATGCTAAGTAACACTAGTTGCACTTACTGACCAAACATTTCTTGATATATGTAGGCGCTTGCCCGGGCAATCTACTCCAGGCTAAACGTCGTAATTCTGGATAATGTCTTCAGCGGCCTCGACTCGAAGAATATCGATCTTATATCGAGCTGCCTTTTCGGCAGCGATGGCCATTTTAGAAAAGCAGGTATATCAGTTATTCTCGCTCTGAGTACGAGTATGTATATATTCTCCGAAGACTGAAAGTGCTTATTGCAAGGCAACTAAGGCCCAGCACTAACGAGACTCATAGATCAACTTCTTTCTCATGCGGACGAAGTTGTTATGATGGAAGAGGGAAAGGTTACCGCATCAGGGTCATACAATGCGATTGTCTCCAAGACACGTCAGTATTTCTCGAAGGGCCTAAAGGCAGTAGAAGATACTAGTCTTTCGACAGCAGAAAGCTCAGTTCTATTCCCGTCACTTGTCCAAAACAAGGATCATACCAACATCAATATGAAAGCAGCTGACGATGAGAACACCATTAATAGACAGAAAGGAACTTGGTCCGTGTATACATACTACTTTCGAAGCGCAGGATACGGTCTCTTAGGTCTGTTTTTGGCATTCACTATCATTGAGGCATTCTGCTCCAGCTTTCAAAGTCTGTATCCTCAAATCTAATATTTGTCAGAAACAAAACTAACCTTCTTCAGCATTGTGGATTCGATGGTGGGTCGAGGCAAATGAAGAGCAACCGAACAAGCAGCTGGGCATGTATCTCGGTGTATACGGCATGATATTCGGATTGGCCCTTCTGAGTCTTATAGCTAGCTGCTGGTATGTGTTGTAAAACGCAATGGTATTTCACCACTGACTGAATATTCCAGGTTACTCTTCGTTCGGGCCCTCAACAATACTTCGCTAAATCTGCATTCTGACCTTCTCAAAACAGCGCTTGGGTGGGCAATCACGTTATGATATATATAGTTGTCATACTAACAGCATCACTTATAGGGCATCGACCAGCTTCTTTCAAGGTGTAGACACTGGCTCTATAACCAACAGGTATTGTTATTTCCACAATAATCTGCTTACGTGGGCAACTGACGCAATCCCAAACAGATTCAGCCAAGATTTGGAACTCATTGATATGATGCTACCGGTATATGCTGTCAATTGTGTTACGAGTATGAAATCATCCCCGAAACACAGTTACCGGGGCTAATTCATTCGGCAGACGTGATTACGGTCTTTATTGACGTCCTTATTATATGTATTTTGGGTAAATATCTGGCAGTCTCAATCCCGTTCTTGGGGGTGGTTCTATTCTTCGTTCAGTCATATTACCTACGCACGTCCCGGCAGGTCCGACTGCTAGACATCGAGGCGAAGGCACCGATCTACACACATTTCCTCGAGACGATCCACGGCATATCAAGTATCAAAGCTTTCAACTGGGAGCCTCAGATGCGAGATAAAGGCCTCGCTCTCCTGGATCAATCGCAACGTCCAGTCTACATGCTGTACACCATCCAGCAATGGCTGACTCTAGTTCTGGACTTGGCTGTAGGGGCAATGGCCGTCATTCTTATTGCCATGGTCACGTCTTTAAGAAATCAGTTCAATGCGGCATCCATTGGCGTTGCGCTGAATCTTCTTCTGACGCTAAATCAAACATTGACAAATGCTATCAAAATGTGGACCATGACTGAAACCTCCATCGGGGCCGTCACACGCGTGCAACACTTTATACAAGATACACCATCGGAAGGATGTTGCATCACGCCTTCGATTATTTCCCAACTACCGGATGACTGGCCTGGCAGCGGTGTGGTGGAATTCAGAGACGTGACTGCTGGATATAAGTATGTACCATCTAGGTTCAGTAGAATCTACTCAGCTCTGTATATACTAAGTCATCTACAGCTACTCCTCTACCCCGATCCTCAGAGGTCTCACCATGAGCATCAAGCCGGGAGAGAATATTGCAGTTTGCGGGCCGTCTGGAAGTGGAAAGACATCACTGATCATGGCGATGCTCCAGATGCTTGACATTCAGTCCGGACGCATTATGATAGATGACAGGGACCTCGCCGGGATTCCGAGAAGCGCAATCCGCTCGCGTATTAATGTGGTCTCACAAGACCCATTCTTCATGCCAGGCACTCTTCGTTTCAATATTGACCCTCGTCAGTGTGTGGTCGATGCGGAACCTATCCGTGCCATTGAGAAGGTAGGCCTCTGGGACCGCGTTCAAGCCAAAGGAGGTTTGGATATGGAGTTCTCTTTTGCGGATTGGTCGGTTGGACAGAGGCAGCTACTTGCCTTGGCTCGCGCCCTTGTGACAAAAAGCCACCTGTTAATATTGGATGAAGCTACCAGCAGGTGAGATCCTTTGTGGATATTATTCCACCCCTCGTGGATTTTTATGGAGATTGAGGCTAACGATCTTCTTGCGATAGCGTCGATTGGGAAACGGAGGCGATCATGCAGGATATTGTTGAGAAGGAATTTGTTCAGGAAACGATCATTGCGGTGGTGCATCGGTTTCGATATATTCATCGGTTTGACAGGGTGGTGTTTCTCAAGTATGGAGAGGTTGTGGAGTGCGATACTCCTGAAGTATTGTTGCAGAGTGATTCCGAATTCCGAAGGATGTATTTGGCTTCTCAACGGCTTGCTTGCGGTTTATAATCTTCATTCTTCTGCTGTTAAGATTAAGTCAAACATCCCGTCCACCGGGACTATTCATCTGGCAGTTTCAGAGATAAATCTCTTTTTTTAACTTCTAGTCATTTTCGAGTTTGGACTCCTATTGCTGAAACATCTTCGAATTAGGTTCAACTTTTGGTGATACATAGCTTGTTCAGACATGACTTCGTGAACTTATGGGAACATAAAGAGTAGCCCCTGGCTCAACACTCCGATCTACATGCCTTCTTTCAACTCGGTGCGTCAAGTTTTCCAGAAATTGAAAATCTTCGGACGAATTTTCTTACCCACAATCTTCCCAAGCTCGTTCCATAGCGCGATTACTTCGTCCCTTGTTCCGGTGAAAGAGGCGAAGACGGATCTACGACAATGGTCGGGACAGAAGTGGACAAACTGGCCACATTTGCGTCTTGGCCCCCATCGTTCTTGGCAGCGGTATATTCAAAATCTCCAGGCAACTCAGCTTGGGGTGTATTCGAGCTTTGTACAGCCTGGAGCTCAGCCGGTGCAGATGGAATCTGTTCATTGGGCATTTCGACTGGCCCCTTCGACGGGCCGGACACAATCACTGCGCCAGTATCGAGCTCCGCTTTCTGGTACATGGGGTCGCCATTATCAAGTTCGGGTTTTACAACACCAACTGGAACTACGGAGCTCTTCTTAGACGCGTCTTCGGACAAACTGGGTGCTTCACGTGCAGCTGCAGCCGCAGCTTTCCTTGACTTGTTGCGTCGGTACCACCAAATAAACGTCACCCCGGCAATAAGGAGGACGCCGAGGGGCACACCCACTCCGATCCCAATTTTGGCTCCAGTTGGTAACCCTGTGTTTTCGCCGCCATTAACCAAGCAAATGGGATATGCTGTAAAAGTCGCCGTTTCCTTGGACACTCCATTTCGCTTTGTGTTGCTGGTCTCAATAGAGCCGGTGAAGTCAGACACGGTAGACCACGAGCATCTTCCATCTGAAGTCGTGTACAGCCGTCGTGCGCTGACTGATGTCGCAGTGCTAATACATCCTTTGCCCCCATACCGATATCCACTAGACCAAATATTAGCCATGCTGTTGTCATTTCAATCAACCCTTGCTTCTGTATCTTCAAATAGACACTTGAAAAGTTTGGCACCACTGCATTCCTGCTTCGACTGGGGCTTACGAAATAAAGGACTTACGATGGACAACATATTGTGGCAACCTGACTATCGCCCACGGTCGCTCCCATTAGTCCAATATTGTATGATGGTGATAGGCCCCTCTGGCCGGCGCTTGTGGTATAATTTGCGGTCCATCCAGATGGGCAGGCATTACCGGGAGTGAAGACATTATTTACTCCCTCGCCAGTAAACACACCTTTGATACCCTCGGGGTAGCAAGTCGAGGCCCAGTTCCATACCTTCGCGGAGGTTGCGCCAGTTGGAACGCCCCGGGTGACACAGACAGCCCCCCATGCCAAAAGGGCGTTGTCTGTGTTGTAACTGACCCAGTTCGCGGTGGCACACCACGAGGGTGGAGAGAACGTGGTCGTAAGTGGACCAAAATTGGCAATAGTAACATCTGAAGCAGGTGTTGTCGTCATTATTTCGAGTTATCACGCATGCTAAAAGAAAGTGTGAGAAGTAAAGATTATGGGCCCGGAGACAGCAATGCCAGCCTACAACAGGGCCGGAACATTGCCCTGGGTATTGCGGGATCGACCCCTGAATCTCCAATTTGGATCGTCTCCGCTTGGATTGGCAAGGATCCGACACGGCATGAACGGCCCCAGCCATAATTTGCTTGTTTGGTGATTCGCTTTGGCCCTGTCAGGTTGTCTCCGCATGATTGGGGGACATAAATAGATCGTCGCCCGTATGGAGGATAATAGCAGAGCCAAGGGTGTTCAAACTAGTTCTCCTAAATATCTTAGCTAGTCGGGTGGCCTTGTATGAGCATAATTCCCCGACGCGGCGCCCTGGTGGGCAAAGCGCTTCCTTCCATTAGGGCCCCTCTATTGGCCAGCCAACCAGGAGAAAATACGCCTTCCAATATAGCCCCAAAGCTCTGACCGACTGAAAATACTGTATTTAAGCGAGGTCCGAGGGTTTGTCGGACGCGAAACCCTGACTCATCTGCCGATCATAGCCTCTTCTTGATCAAATGTTGCTATGGCCTTGCAAACACTGCCCCTACAAGGCTCGCTGCTCTTTTGGCCAATGACAGGATGTACCTCGGCGCCTCAGCCGAGCGAAAGCTTAAAAGAGCCAAGGCGCCCGCTACTGTACGTTTCGAGACTTGCATTCTCTCGAAGTGTCGCGAAGCTCTCGAAACTAATAGTAGTATACCGATCATGATGCTGAGCCAGTGGATTGCTTTCGCCCTGTATGCGGCAGGTTTGTATTGGCTATTTTTTGTCACTCTCATTTTCTACCGTCGCTTCTTTCATCCCCTCTCACGTGTCCTGGGACCATTGTTGGAAAAGACAACATATCTTTATGAGAGGTAGTATGACCTGTACTTGAAAGGTCAACTCACATTTTATCTTAAACGGCTACATCAAGCATATGGTCAGTAAACGAGCTGAACGAACTGTAATTCTGCTTAAATCTGGTTCTGGGTAGGTCCAATAGTTCGGGTTAGTCCAGAGGAAGTTCATATCGATGATCCAGAACAATTTGGCCCTTATCCAGCGGTATGTATCGCCACTCATTCACCTCTCTGTTGGTTTTTCAAGCTGCTCATACAAAGGTATGATGGGACACGAGGCCAATGACGTACAATACAATATTTATACGTACAGACTCTTATATAAACAAAGAGAAATAGTATTCAACAAAGATCAAATGTTTAGTAAAGACAGTGTTCAATTGAAGAGTCGAAATGCGCGGTAATATAATATTTGGTCTGCATTGTCCGACATCCCTCCTTTGTTCTCCGCCAGTCCAATGTCCTGCTTCTAGATACACGAATACCAGAAGCAGTATGGTTCGAAGCCAACATCAATGTTATGACAACCATCTCGGTGGTACTCTACCACTTTCTCCTCACCGCCACACTCCCAGACGCCAGCGGAATCAGTCTTCCTGCTATAATAGGCTATCCGAATTCCTTTTCCGGCTGGGCATTCATTTGTAACACGTACAAAATGTCCACCCGGGTATTCGGCCTGCTCATGGCTTGAGGCTCCGTTATGGTAGTAGTAACCGCATTCATCAGCGAGGATAGTGCAGTAGTAATCTCCGAAGTTTCTCCCATCGCACGAGTTACCTGTGAACGTCAAGTCCACTTGGCGGCTCATACAAGTTCCCATAAAGCCCATAATCAAAAACGTCACTTTCATGTTGAAGTTTTAGTGGTGTAAAATAAGAATATAGGGGCTTTATCGGGAACGCTTATTTTCTGTTGTACGGTCAAGGTCTGGAAAAAGTTAGACGGACGTCACATAGGAAAAGAAATGCTCTCTGGCCTTACAGGGTGTTACAGATTCTTGTAGTGTCTCGACAGAGAGATTAAAGCTCACTGCTTTACAAGAATAGGTAAGACGAAAGAAATTCAGTGGGAGAAGTGTAAGACAGAGAAAATTTAGATTTAGGCCTCTACTCCCTCATCTGCTGCATATCTAGGCTCTTTTATAAACAAACAGAGACAGTGTTCGGCTGAACAATCGAAAAGCGGGGTATTGTATATTTAGTCTACACTTTCCAACACACCCTCTCAGCATTGGGTTAATCAGTGCGTTGTCAATTGAAATGATGTCGATGTGTAAGGTAACGCGACCTGCGTAAGGCGACCAACCCCACGGTAATATAGTATAACCCCACATTTCACTAAGCATTAGGGAAGCTCACTTGTCTTCGCTTAGATTATTCAGTGCCTGTGATTGGTCAACGAGACCTCGAATCTGCTATCTTTTGGTGGGATTCAAATAAGTAAAACCGGCATGACGACTCGATATTCATGCAGGCGTTACGCTGGCTAAAATCTTTCGCTCGCCTCCTGTAAGGATTAGTGGCATGAGAAAATATCAAGACATTCTCAGTATCAGAACGGACAAAACGAGTACAAACATGACGGCCCCTCCTTCTGGGGCGCATTAAGCTTCGGCCCCAGTGGGCCCGGTAAATCCAAGCCACCAGATAAATTAGAACTGACCTTCTTAATAGGCGGCTGTTAATATACTAATGAACCTAATTCACAGGGGGGCTAATTGCCAGTCTTTCAGCGCTGTATCTTTTCTGTCAATTCCGTCTGTATGTGATCAAGGCAGTCATGGTAAGCGTTCTGCACTTGGGCTAGGATCCCTGCGAGTGTTTTGAGTGTCCAAGATACCTGTGTCTAGAGTCAGTCGGACTAGCACCCCGGAGGCCTTGCTCATGGGAACTTTTTGGGCCTTGGGGATCTAGACGGGGGTCCGGCTATGTGCTGGTTCTGTTAGGTATTCCTAGGTCGATCAAGGGGTCCTTTGGCACCTCAGAGAGCCAACCGCTCGGTGTTAGGCTCTCTGTTGCTTCACCTGATAAGGGGGCAGTGCTGGGGGGCCAAAGAGGTGACACGTGCAGGCCATCACCACTATGAGATTCAAGAGCCTCCATGGTGGTTTACCGGGGCCAGGAAACCTCTACCAGATGATTGACGCGTGAGAATGACGTGTTTCTCGTGGGTGCTAATCTCTGGTGTTCATAGTCGCTTCCGTCAGTTGGTCGTTACTTCCAATCCTTCATCTTTAGCTGTCAACTACCGTGACTCGCCCTCGCGGTGGCCAGGAAACTTTCCAAGGCTGACCAATATGGCTATTGGCGACCGAATCTAGCATTTAAGAGAACTTTGCGGCCGGGGCAGAAAGGGGCATCCTCGCCTTTCCAGCTTCTCTTTTGGTGGCATGGGATTTTGGTAAGCACAGCTGAGTGTGTCTTACGGTTTTAATGAGCGCAGAGCCTCTTGGGTGTAGTGGCAAGACTCATTTCGTGTGGACGTTACGGCTGGCCCTCCCGCTTGGATTGGTTTGGTGGATCGCAATTCATCATATTGCGACGCCATGGTGGGGGTACTACCTGCACCCTGTGCTCAGTGGACCGTTGGACAATATTCCAGCGTTTGAACGACAGCTGGGGGCCTTGACGTAGCGTCTCATGGCACGAGAACAGCCTCATTCCCCCTCCCGTGAAGGCTCGGATCGCGCAAATTGCCAGCACCTGTCTAACCACAATGCAACAAGGCGTAGCTTTGGCCTCTCAAATTCATGCGCAGAATACCCGGGTGAGATCGATTGGTGTGTACCAAGAGTTCATTGTCTCTTCTCGAAAAGGAAAGGAAGAACGCCACTTCAACATGATTTAAAGGGAAACACTGAGATCCAAGGACTCAATTCTTGGTTGACAGCGGGAAGGCTCGAGCCATCTTCTCGCAGGGCGCGAATGGAAGCGGGTCTGTTCCGTCCGCCCGGGCCCGGTTGTTGAGACCAGCGTGAGGCTGAACATTCCCAGTTTAGCTGGAACAGCCTCAGGAAGATGCATCCAATAAACAGTCGTTTCATAAGCTGAGGACTCTCTTTTCTGTCACCCGAGCTCATTTCAGTTTCTCATTCCTTAAATCCAACATTGCTCAGCCCGCGGATCTGCAATTCTACAATTGGCTCCACAGCTAAGTATCTTTGCTCAGGTGTTAAATGATTCCAGGGGACGCAGCGCTAGGGCAATGTAATGGATGGAATGTCACATGGCGGCATTGAGGCTCAATTTAATTTGAAGTTAGTATTCCGCAAATTTCCCACTATATGTTCTAGAAAGCACAAAGATAATCTAACTGCTATGGCTACCTGCTACATTCATATACCATCTCCAACTGAGAGAGGAGGTCTAACTGCCAAGGAGCTCTTATACGCTCGAATGCCGTGTTACTTTGGATTTCAGGACAGCAGAAATGGTAGGTTCTCATGTCAAACGGGGGAGGGCGGTGTTTGTTCTCGATAATTACTGATATGTCTTTTGCCTCTCCTCTGAAGCAGACCTCTCCTATATTCCTGATAATTGCACTATGTGCTGTGATTCACTAGGCACAGCTGACTCTTCTTACCGCCGACTGCCGTGTGGGCATGTTTTCCACCTGCCATGCATTGATCAATGGCTCCGATCTCATGATGCTAGCTGCCCCCTTTGCCGCCGCACATTCTATCATTTAAGAAAACCGTGAGTGATTTACGTTGCGGGATGATCCCATACTACAGGTACAAACTATTCTGTGGTTCCCTTCTCGGAGAACTGGGCTTAAGGCTAGGCAGGAAAATCTGTCCGTTATAGTATTCGTCTTTCTTGGGTTTTATATCTGAGTCTCACGTCGGGTCTCAATACATAATCAACACTTTACGGAATTTAGATTTCTCTACAGTTCAATTTGCATTGCATTCCCCTCATCTATATATGTAATACCTAAGAGCGATTCTGGACAGGGCTATAGCACACATACTCCTGGGCGTAATTAAGCAAGGCAATGAACACGGTGAATATGATAAAGGTTAGGAAGGGCTGGATACCATATCTTTATTCTGCGGATTCATTCTCACCTACCCTTTCACGTCACATTACCCGGATATCGTTACCTTTGGTGCCTACTTGTTCACTGGGAGAGAATCGATATATCAGTAAAGAACGTCTGATTGATTCTTGAATGGTACTGAGAGACCACAACTGAGAATTTCACAGCATTAGTGCAATGAAGTGCTTCCATTGAAACAACCGATAAACATTGAGGTTGAGGGAAATTGGTTGATGGTTGCAGCGTGGCTCAATATTCAAATATTCAAGAACCTTCCATGAAAATCGACAAAGAGAGATGAATCGAGATCTGGCCGTCTTCACATCCAGATCAAGCCAAGGAACTGGCAATGGACAACCATCCCAACCCAGCAGCAGCAACTTCAATCCCAGTATTATCCTTAGCAGGAGGGTAACTAACACGCGCCAACCTCGACAACTGCACAGCAAGCAAATGCTCCCTGAAATACAAATCCAACCCCCCAATCATATGAATACTATGATCAGCCCCATTTCCACCTTTCTTCTCACCCCAGCAAAGCCTAGGACCAACAGTCTCATCCTCCATCTTCCCAGTCCGACTGCCACTCTTAGCCCAAACCCGCTTCATCTCATACAAAGACTCCCAAGCAAACCCGAATGCCCCAAACATCCCACCATCCCCCTTCTTCCCATCCGCACCCCCGCTCTTCCACGCAAAGTTCCGTCCTCCATACTCAAACCGACGAGGCGACCAATCTTTGCGGTGCATCTCGCCATCCGGGATTTCGGTTATAGCGCCCATATCAGGGATAGTGCATGTCTCCATGCGGAATGTACCGCCTTTCTGCTTTCGGAGCTTGACGCTCGTCGCACCGATCTGGGGGAGGAATTCGCCTGCGCGTCGCAGGACGGTTTCCACGATTGGTACTTCGTCACTCCAGAGGCATTGAAGGGCATACAGGACGTGCGTGTTTGTCGAATCTTTCACGAAGAACCAGTGTGACCGCAGGCCCAAATCGACTAGCTCCGATGAATGAGTTATACGATATGTGATGGTGGGTGCTGAAGGTGACAGAGTCAATGAGAAGAATGGACGTGTGGACGGGTCGGTATTGAGAAACGGTTGAAGGTGTAGTGGAGCTGTGCTTATATCTGCTCCAGTTGTGTTGGGGTCCTCTCCGCGAAAAGCGTGGAGGTCTTTGCGGATCTAAAAGTGTTTAAGTCGCAGTGATACCAGCAAGTTAGTTGATCTTCTGCTATTCTTTACATACCTGAGTCAGTGTCCAACTCTTTTCGTTCTGTTTCTCCACTTCTTCCATGGCATCCAAGATCGTTGGCGGCAATATTATGCCCTCATAACTGCCTTTCTTTTTCAGAGACTCCAGATAGGCTAGACGCTCGCGATGAACCTGGACTTGGCGCTCGAACATCTTGCGGTTGACTTTGCGCACGTTTCCTTTTTTGAACGTCTTTGTCGCCTCCCCAAGAATTTCGATTGCACTTTTGTACATCCGAATAGCATCATCGTAGTCTCCCTTTCTTTCCATAATGAAAGGGCTGGCGGCGAGCCTGTAAATGTCATTGTTGGTGTCGATCTTCCCTGACATCGCGGTGGAAAGAAAAAAGACTGCTATGAAAGAAAAGCCCTTATAAAACGGTCGTAATGGGTTAGCAGCCTGCCTGTGCTGTGAAGGTAGTGATGTCGTAGAATGTGTAGCACTAACTAGTCTCCGTGGATAAGGCCGAGGCCTTTATACAGGGCAAGGGAACTGTAGTTCTTCTTTGAAAGGCTCGCCAAGCTAAAAGTGAGCCTTGCCAAGGACTTGGAAGGACGCGATACCAAAATCGAGGCCAAAATGCGAGGTCAACATTCAAAAGAGGACTGCAACGACAGTTGGCGCGACAGTTGCCAACCCGGATCAAATCAGATCATCCCGTGGCTGTCTGTCCCTGAACATGATAGGGCTTTCCCGTCAATCATAATCACCTGTACCGCCAGCTACAATAGTACTCTGCCTCAAAGATCTTGTATCTAGGAGACTAAACAGCGGGTGTGGGCGAACGGCATTATCTGATCGCTTGCCATTACTCTCTTGGAAGCTTGGCAATTAGGTTCACCCAACCACCCCGCAGGCTTACCGGGTATGCATGCATATACCGGACCCTGGTGGACTTTATGTTCCGGGCACATGAACATAAAGTAAGCCATCGTTCACGTGGCGTCTCAGGGTCCATGATCTAAAAGGAAATGGCAGTTTGCCTTGGGCGCTGGGCTTGTCCGGATGGTGGATAATGCTGTTCGCAATTGAGAGTAGAAGGTCCTCGACATAATATTTTATGTCTAGCACGAAGTGGTTCTGGTAAACAGAACTCCTTGCCATCATCATGTTTGTGTGGAATATTAATGCCAGGCGAAAAGAAAAGAAAATACGGAAATCAGAAACCAAAAGGAAGGCAACTCCCACGCATTTTGTGCAAAGGGAGGTACTGTAGGTCAGAGAGGAAATCTAATTAGATATGGTTCAAGCTTGGTACGTTGCTCATCACTTCCTAGGAAGTTCTCGACAGCATCTCACCCTTGCGGCTAAAAAGCTAGAACGGCCCAGGCCATGAAAATAAGGCAACGAGAGATTCAACCAAAAAAAAGAAATCAAAATGAGAGCCGGGGTGTCCGGCAGGGGGATTGCGACTGATCAGATCGTACCAAACTCAGGGCTTGCCACCCTGGCAGATATGTGAAGACGCCATTTTTAAGGTGAAGAAGGGTTGATTTTGGTGGAGATTTTGCAGGAAACAGGGCCTGGACGTTCTACAATTCAAAGGGCCAATAATCGGATCTTACGGCAAACACAATAATGGTCGACCCACCGGATATAACCGATTCATACCCCGGAAGTGTCCAATTTTAGGGGCGAGGAGGCTGAGGCAAAAGATTTGCTGGCACCTTTGACCCTTCAAGGGGTACGATATGCCTAATGTGGTCTAGCTCGAGACTTATCGCCGGCGCTAGTGTGTACACTATGCCCTTATAGGTTAGTCTGTGGCCTTTAGCCATCCTGATTTAAATGAGAGTGGCCAATAGGAAGGCCCTGTTTGCGGCAAATGGCCGAAATGGCTTTAGACGGCGACTGGGCTGGACTGGCAAGTTTCGAGTCTGACGAGAGCAATCGACCTTTGTTTTTAATTGGGGCCATGGCCCTATTCTTGCTCTCAATTGCTTCTTCTTCTTCTTCTTCTTCTTCTTCTTCTTCTTCTTCTTTGCTTAACGTTATAGTATACCCACCAACTTCTGTCGCTCGCTTGACTTGTCTATAATTAACATAACCCACCATGCATATCGCTTCTCTCGCTCTCCTGGCCGGTGCCACCGCCGTCGCCGCCGAGACAGTCACTCTTTTCCTGCCTGGATTCGACCAGCAAAACCTCGTAGGCAGCGTTCTCGGATCTGTATGTTTTGAATATCCTCTCAATTGAAATGCCCCAACAAAACTAATCCTCCAAACCCAGAGTGCCAAAATGACCACCTACCTCGTCCAATGCGCCTCCGGCCAAGACGCCAACGACTGCGGCGTCCCACCCGGCGGCGTCACCGTTATCCAGGGTTCTTCTACCGCCGCTATCAACTACGGTATGGAAGGAATGTAAGTGGCCACCAAGAAGATCACGATCCAGTTTCCCCGCAATCCAAAAGCTGATGATCCTTTCCTATCGTAGTACCCTCGATGAGCGCTGCAATTACGACGCTACCAGCGTTACTTGCTCAGGAGGCATGGTTGAGAGCGGCATTTCCTCTGCTTTCAGCACTGCCGTACCTCTCACTGAAATTCCCGGTGGCGCTCTTCTGCCTGTTAGTATCACTGCCGCCGGTAGTGCCAGTGCTTCCGCTACTACTGGTGCCTCGGCTACTGCTTCTACTGCTTCCTCGACTGGCGGGTCTAGCATGACTACTTCTGCTTCTAGCACTTCTACTGGTACTTCTACCAACTCTGGGAGCAGCAGTGCTGCTGCTACTGGCACCCATACATCGTCTCCTAATGCTGCTTTGCCCATGATAACTGGCAATGCTCGCTGGGCTGCTGCTGGTGGTGTTGCTGCTGCTATTGCTGTTGCCGCTCTCTAGGGGATTGGATATATTATATAATGTTTGATATTTGGTGTCCCTACTGGTATAAATGTACGCCTACTTGCCTTGTTGATAGATGGGGTAGTATACTATGCATCAAGTGAAATATGTTCCACCATGCACTTTGTATCGCTCTGTTTCAAATACATCACTTGTTGATGGAATCCATGGCTTGCGCCACAGGGTGTGTAACTTGCTTCGATGAACACTATCTAAACCTTACATCTAACATCTATGTCGTCTGTTTATGGGAATACTCATGCTTTACGGTGCATGACACCAGCCGCAGCCTGAAGGAATGTTCATTAGGGCTCATCAGAAATCTTAATATAGTACCGGAAGCTTACCTGGTGGCTGGGGAACACTAGAGTATCGGCAATGACGACGTTCTCGCGACGACTGGCAGCGAAGACGACGACCTCGGCAATGTCGTCACCAGTCAATGGCTCGACACCCCTGCTAGCTGTCAGTACTGATCGCATTGAAAGTCGTAATGTTTGACTTACTTGTAGACAGCGTCGGCCTTGGATTTGTCTCCATAGAATCGGACAACAGAGAACTCCTGCAATTGTCATTAGCTTGTGTAAACGGAATAAGTGTGAATAGCCATACAGTCTCAACCTGGCCGGGATCAATCTCAATAACACGGATTCTCGTGGCAATGAGCTCCTTTCTCATCGCATCGGTGAACGAGCGGACAGCAGCCTTGGTGGCACAGTAGATGCTACCACCAGAGTAAGGCTCACGTCCAGCAATGCTGCCAATGTTAATAATGTCACCACGGCCACCCTCATCGCGCTTCTTGAAGATGGGCAAGATTGCCTGGGTCATGTTGATAAGGCCGGTGACGTTGGTGTCGAACATGACTTTCAGATCCTCGGCGGCGATATCACCTGCCTGGGCGACGCCCTTGACCAGACCACTGCATGAAGCTTATTAGTATTGATCTTGAAGGGATACCCACGCCGTTTGCTGTGTGTGACTCACGCATTGTTCACTAGAACGTCAATCTCCTTGAACTCCTCCGGCAAGGAGGGAACGAAGTTGTTAATCTCCTCTGGGTTGCTGACATCCAGCTTCACAGGAAGGACCTTGACACCGTCGCCAACTTCCTGCTGGATCTCCGCTGCAACCTGCTTCAACGAGTCGATGCGGCGAGCCGTCAGGATCAGCTTCAGATTCTTGGGTGACGTGCGAGCGAATTCCTTGGCAGTACTCTTTCCAATACCGGAAGAGGCACCGGTCACAACGATAGTCTTGCCCTCGAGGCGCTTTGCCGCTGCGGAGGCCATTGATCGTATGGAGTTTGGTTGGACCGTAAAAGCGAAGGGGGATGCGGGGAGAGATGAAGCTGTGATGGGAGATGAGAGTCGGTAGAGTTGTCCAATTGATCTAGAACAAGCTCGTAGATTGTTCATGGATTGTAGACTCTATTTACAGCTAACAGATGAACAGTGGAAAAGAAAAAAAGATGACTATCACGAGCTGCTGCGGGGAATCGGCGTCATGAGGGGCTGACATAAGCACGTATCGTGGCCCGGACAGAAGGCCGGACCCACTTCTCGAAGTATTCGGAGTATAACACCTCCGGCGTACTGCATGCCATTGTTGTAGAAGCCCTTTGTGTCATTCTTTATTTTCTTTGGGCTCGAGGCGAATGGGATTCATGCGTTTGGCACAAAGAAGCTGTCTGGGCTTTGATAAAACAGGATTCAGGCTGGGAGCTCTTGTTCCATAGTACAAAGGATCGGATCCTTAATCAACTTCTGTTGATTGACTACCTTGAAGCAATGTGACAAAGATGTCATCAATACCATTTTCACCTCCCTTAGACGACGAAGGTCATAGCTTCAAAGAAGGGCTGGTAGACTGGCAATAAATAGGTATTGTCCCCACTGCTAAATAAGACCACATCCCAATACGCATCCCAATACGCGTTCCAGTTTCTACTTTGGCATTCTGAATATCATAGACCATCGATAGACAGGAGCATAGGAGTGTTCCATCCCAAAGCTGTTCCAATTGTTGCCGACAGCAACCAGGCCAAACGCGTTTGGCCCGTTCTTGCAATTCTTCCCTCTTGACGATTCTTCTCTCTTGATGACCCGTTGCAAGAGTTTGTGCTTCAACTTCCCGTACTCATAGCTCGTTCTTGTTGGTTCTTTGCTTTTGTTTTATTTTTCCCATCTCTTCTGTGTTCCCAACCATCGGATATCATTTACCATTTCTCCCATTTCCCATGGACTGCATCCCGTGAAGATATCAACATGTCTCCCCACAACCCGATACATCCCGGGGGCTCAGTAGAGACTCTACCGTGTGAAGGCTCACAAGATGAATGCGTTATACAGGACACTATTCCTCCCAACCTCTTTCAACGCGAATCGTTCGATTGGGCAGACGATGTGGAGCAGGTGATCGCTTCCAAAAGCTCGATCCCAACCTCTCCTAGTACTCTTCAGCCTGAGCTCTCCCATTGGGCCACTGATGTCAAAGACGAAACTGCATCCAGGTGCACCATTCCCATTTCCGTCAACCTCTTAAGGAAGGAATCCTCCAGCTGTGCCGACGATGTGGAGGAAGACATCATGTCCACGACCAATGCCTTTCCCACCCTCCTTCCACCAGACCCTTTTGACTGGGCGGTAGATGTTGAAGACAATCTATATCATTCACACGATGTAGGTATTGCACACTCTTGCTGCGGTTCTCACTCGAGGGATAATCTCCCAAGAGAACGCATCCAAACACCACCTCGCTCCCATCCACTTACTATCACCCCACGCCCAATTCTATCCTCTCTCAAGAGATATAAACTAATTTCAGGCCATGGACAGTGTCGCTTATTTGGTTCTAACACCGACTCTCTCTTCCCTCTCACTTCAAAGGTGATGCCGTCCAAGGGGCTGCCTCTGACTAACCTTACAATTATTGAGGCACCTGACCTCGAAGAGTCAGATTCCTCTTATCCTCCATCGACTACATCCTTGAATTTTTTCACCGAAGCCACCAGCCAAGATTGGGAATTTGTGGAGGTTGACGAGGAGGTTGAAGCCATGTTACGATACCGTGCGTTGAGCACACAGAACGAGGGAGATGTCCATCACTTCAACTGGATGTGTGAGCCCATCGGAAGGCGGAGTACGACATCCCCCGAGGTTTCCCTTGTCTGTATTCAAGCTGGACCAAAGGTTCCCACGGGCAGGGATGTGTTCCGGGTTCAATCGATCATGAACAGAGCCCTTCCGTTTATTGATCCCGTGGCAGTCAGACTCAAAGGTCAACACCAGGATATTTTGAGCATGCGCGGGTCCAGCCTCCTACGAGCCTCCGAGGGCCGTGTTTTCAAACTCTATTCACTTCATGGGGCATGGATGAATGATGAGGATGTGATGAAGGACCAAATTATGATAGACACTGGCAATAACCAGCAATACACATCCCCCGGTCTTGCCATCGGAAATGGGTTTCTGGTCAACAGCCCAATCAAGTCAGTGTCTGATTGGTCCAAGTCTGTTGAAGCTGCCGTCGCGGGACGAGTCTTTAAGCTTCCTCGAAAGCAATCTTGGAAGCCGACGTCCTCCCGACTTCGAAGCATCGAAGCCGTTACACCAGTCTCACTCCCAGAACTGCCACCACCTCAGTTGGAGGGTGAGTGTAAGCCGACCTTCTCCTCACTTCGAACCCTCGAAACTGCTTCACTAGGCTCGGCCCTAGAGGCAACACCAGCTCGATTGGGGGCCAAAGCAAAGCCCCGACGTCACTGCCGTCTCAGAACTGCACGCCCTGGAGCCATCTCACATGAATACTTCTCATTCCCCACGCCAGAGTTTGATGAGCCACAGATGGGGTGGAGACTGAGAGACGCTATCAGAAGCTTGTGGGTAGCAATGGGATTCATTTTTAGATGGCCATGGAAATGATGTTATCTTCGATATGGACTGATTGTTGGTTTATCTTGTGCCTATCATTTTGCTTCTAGATTAGCGCTATTTCCCGGTGAGCTATTAGCGTGTATGCTATATCTTTCTACTTGCGTTAAGGGCATTAGGCCCCAACATGAAAGGAACCACATGGTGAGCAACATAATAATTTGTCAGAAATAGTCATACACAGCCCTCCATCGCTCTTGTATTGAGAGCGTTCCGTCTCCTAAAATCAAGGGTGATCTTGGCAAAGGCGAGACAATGCTTCTGTGCGATATCATCGATAAATTGACCAGATCGATTACGGACACTGCAGATCTCTCGTTCATTACTCTAAGCTACAGGTGGTCGAATCAACACCGTCACAGTGGTTATGCGTGGTGTAATATACTCACTTGTCAGAAAGCGGGGATCCTTTCTCTCCTACGTTCGGAGTCAGTAGTATATGACCAAGCAGGCAAGCAAATATTCGAGGTCATAAATGCAAGGCATGCTGTCTTGATAATATTTGTAAAATACCCGTATGAAAAGTCGAGTTCTACAGAATTACGTCAAACCACATTCAACAGTCTCGTCTATTAGATTGTCTAAGCTGCTTCTCCTGGTATATTGTAGTAGATCTCTACTTTGTCTTACTTGTTAGCGGTATACCCTATGTACTGAACAGAGTTTTCAGCCGTGCCCGAGTCTCAAGAATTGTAATTCATCATGGCACGTTTTTATTTTCCAACTCGATATGACCTCCAGAAATGAGTGGAGAGCAATCAACATTATGCTCGTGAAGTTCCCAAGTGTGGCTTCAGATACATCGCCTATTAACCGTCAGTAAATGCGAACAAGAATATGTGGAGTTGAGGTCCACGCACTACCGGGATTATAGCAGAGAAACTCAGCACTCCCAACATGACAGTGCATCCGGTCCATCCCACGTAGTCACACGCAACCGCAGAGAGCAATGGCCCGAGCACAGTGCCAGCACCAAGCATAGCATCGAGCAGCATATATCCCTCGGCAATCGCACTTTTGTATCCATAGACTTCAGGGCGCTCGTCTTGGAGATCTTTCACGATCCTTGGTATCTCTGTAACCAAGGGGGTAAGAGAGGTATTCAGTCCTATTCCTGTTCATTCTATTAGTGGCCCCACAAGTATTTGGTAGAGAGTAGGTCAAAACTCACCAACAAAGAACAATAGTATGCAAGCCATCACATGGTTTGTAACGGTATTGTGTTGTATCAGAGCAAGGAGAACCACTGCCACCCCTGCAGATACAAATCCTATGGCAGAGATTAACCGGACGCCATATCTGTCGGATATTATTCCAATAAATGGACCGATGAGAGATGGAATAGTCAAGTTGAGGAAAATTGCCCCTGTGGCGCCAGATAGCCAGTGGAAGGTTTGCTTGACGAAAATGGGTAGTACCGCGTCCATGGAGGCCACCAATATGGTATTGATGAGACATCCATATAGCGCAGCGAGTATGCGAGGGCTACTAAGAAAGCCCCCAACGACAGTCCACCAAGTAGGCTCCGTCGCCACAACATCAGAGACTTCTCTGTAGTGTGTGAGAAGCGGAGTTGTCAGAGCCGCATCTTCTCCAACATGCGATAGTCGCCGCTTGCCATTTGCAACCGCGCTCCTGGGCGGACTTCCATCCAAGGAAAAGGGCCTTTTTTTGCTAACGTGATCTTGGTACTTTGCTGCAGCCTTCTTGTCGATAATGAGCAAAAGGAGAACCAAGTTAATGGCGACCACACCAAGGCTCATAATAAAAACAGGATAGTACCCTGTCTTTTCATAAACGATTCCTCCGAGTGTGGGTGATACAAGCACACCAAAGTTCATACCCGACAGCCCGAAGCCAATCCAGGGACCCAGTTCGTGTGACTCGATCGTGTTAACCAGCAGCGTCAGACCAGCTGTGTAAACCACGCCAGCCGATAGGCCCTGGAAAATCCTTGCCACGATGATCATCCACGGGGCTGATCCAAGCATGAACAAGAGGGTTGACCCGGATGCGCAAGAAAGACCTCCCAGAAACGGTATTTGACTTCTTTCACACTTTCCGACAACCCAGCCCGCTATTGGTGCACCAAGTACCATTGCAAGACCGAAAACGACCAGCGAGGTTGATGTCCAGAACGGGATGTCGGCTTCTGGGACTCCGAAACGAATGTTTAATGAGAAGGGAAGAACCGCTACTACCTAATATTCATCAGAATGCATTATTAGGTGTCGCCGAAGATAAACTTGACAAAGCTTACGATTCCATAGAGGAACCCATCAGTGAACGTGGTTATGAACACAGCCAATCCGATAAACTGTTTTGAAGACCTTAGGTTGAAGAACCATGGCTCTGAGGATGGGGTTATACTATCCTCCATAGTACAAGGAAGATGATAAGAGAGGCGCAAAGAACGCGAACTTGGCTTTCACCTCACTTCCTCGAGGCGGGGGATCGGTTGAGGTGGGGGTTAGAAAGAAAGAGAAGCAACAGCGTGCGGCTGAAGATGTAAGGGGGAACGTGCAGTCGAGGGACTAAGTTCATCTCACACCTGCGGCCTTGAAACGGAGCAGGTCAAAGTATATTAAGGCTACAGTTACCTCAGCTTGTGAAGAAATATCGCTGTCATTTTTCGAAATCCTGGGGCAATACTGCCACATCGCGGTGCATTTATAAGCCAATTAATTAACGTCATTTGCAGATCACTATACATGGGGTGATAATTTATGCAGGCGTCTGCATGATCTATCGATAATCAGCCGGGGGCATTCGGGCCAATGAGGCTACGCAAGGTAGAATCTTCCCACCAAAGTTACTTGCAGAATTTGATGTGGGAAGATATAAATATCAAAATCTTTGCAGTTGCCTGTATGGCTGACTATTGAGGCGGATTGCACCTATATTTCTGTAGGTCCGATTATCTAAGATGTTCTGTTTCCTATACTCCCAAAGGTACCTTTGTTTAGGGTGCAAAGAGGCCTCTTGTTGAACTTGTGCTTGAACGCTCGACGACAAAGGTAGGGAATATATCATTCTATAATGTAAACATGCCAACTACAAGCCTGTACCTGCCTATACACATTGCATAACTTGGTTTCAACCATTTTGCAGGCTCCCCTATGTATATATCCATCTCGTCAGCACAAAGTGGAAGATATATATAATGTTCGTTTCGATCCCGGTCGCATTATTTGCATGAACTAGGGGTAAATTCCAAGGTTTGTTTCATCAGTCTCTCAAATATCCGTTCGTAACTCATTAGAGTTATAGAGCTGACATTTCTCAACTCACAGATCTCAATTTCGTACTGCCCCGTGGTATCTCAAACTCTATCCCGGATGTGGTCTAGCGCCCGCACTGTCCTGTGGCTTTTCACGTGACCTACAGCGGCGTCGTTGTCTCGTCGCAACCACAGCTGACTCATCAATGACGGGCTTGGCGACCCGCTGCTTGCGACAGCGAAGCAGTGAACGCTTTTGCACCTTGCCCCTGTTCACTATCATTTGCAACCTGAGCTTGATCAAACACGTGTTCGTCATTTTGGACGGCTATTCATTGTTTCACCGACCCCACAGGTGTGTGTTCCCCTTTGTTGACCCAGCCACCTTCGACGGCTTGGCCAACTCCCGACAGCGAACATGCCGTTCTTCCTCACACTCTATCCAGATTGAACGGCATCGACAGATATATCAGGAGCTAACTGATGACTATTGAAGACTCAACCCAGCTATTCGAGACCCATTGTCACTACTGTGATCTTTGCAGCTGCCTAGCGACTCGCGATCCCCACTATTGATTCGCGACCACGAGACCCAGAAGATCCCTTTCATCTGAATAACATACCATAAAGTCATCAAAATGGATTTCACAAACATCTTGTATGTTGATGCTCTGCGTGTGCGCGTGCGGCGAAAAGTAAAGTTCTGACCAGCTGCAGTCGTCTTGTCAACATCGCCGTGGGTGTGTTCATGGTGCTGGGAGGCATCAGCAACTTCTTCCCCGCAACCTGGAGCTCTGTCATCTTGGGCGTCTATGTGATCCTCTTCGGTCTTGGTATGCTTTGCAATACCTATATACCAGTTAGTGGCTAATGTGTGTGCAGTTGTCGCTGGACTGGAGTTCCTGCCTAACGTCCCGGACCACGCTTACCGCTATGCGTCGTTCCTCTTCTCCTTCCTGGGCCGTGGTGTTTGTAAGTGCTTGAATCTCTAACATGAAAGAATGTATCGGGACAGGTGGCTAATCTCTTTCATCCGCAGTCTACGTCTTCATCGGTTCCATCCTGCTGCACGACCACGTCCTGCGCATCATTGCCGGCTCCCTGATCGGCTTCATCGGTCTCGGATACGTCGCTCTCGAGTTCATCCCTTCCATCGAACCACCTTCCAACATGCGCGAGTCTGACCAGGGCTGGGGTGCTGAGCAGGTCTAAAGTGCCGCCTGCGTAGGTGGCGATGACCGGTTCCTGTCATGGCCCCCGAGTGGGGCGCATGACCTTGGCAACATGACAGATCCACGATCTCTTTCGTAATACGGCGTGCAGTGTGCGCGACTCCCTGGGGAATCTCAGGTTCTGATCGTGATGACGGACCCGGAGCTGTTATGAGATCGAGCTTTTCAGGGGAAGAGGGGATGCATGGATGATTTGGCTGGGTCTCCGAGATTTTCTGTACCAGCTCGAAGTTTAAGAGACCTGTACTATATTTGAAATTGGATATGGCATTAATGAATTATTGATCCGAGATCCGGTGAGCCCGTTCGGGGGCAAACTTATAGTTTAGTCCGTCGCTAAGTTCCGCCGTTTTGTACTTTTGCCCGGGCTTAACGGACTAAAAAGCACCCCTAACTACTACGTGGTCATATCGCTTCGGTGTGCTCGAGAGCCGAGTGGCGAATTAGAAGACTAAGATTACTGCTGACCTCATTAGTCATCAATGTGTAGCCAATCAGCGACCGTACATATTCGATTGCCTAGCAAAACTCCACTAAATGCTCAGTTGGGAAGGTGAAATTCCCACTTTCTTGCTGGTTTCTGTAATCTTCATCAGAAGTGGAGTCTGATCTATCTGGGGATTAAGACATGCATGTTGAAGAGATTTCTTAGCATTGCCACAGCAAAGAAAAGGCGAAAAGGATAGGTAAGAAACAACTCGGCAGTTTAGAGTGATAGATTGATATGCCGCGATCGCCCCTAGATCGATAACCCCAAATCCCTTTTTGCGATAAGCATCGCATTCCTCTTTGTTCCCCTTCCACCTTTACCTTCACTTTTACCTTTACCTCTACCCTTTACTCACTCTATTCTCTTCCAGCCTACTATCTTCTACTCGCCTCCCATTCTCCTATTGTTCCTACTCCTTCCTGTGCCCACTTGGCCCCTTCCCGACGGAGAGTGATCACCATCTTGCAGCTCCCTAGCCTCTTAGCCAATCCTGGCCTCGCTGTTCGTGCTTTTGCGTCGGCCATTGTTCCCGAACGAGCCCGTCTCCCCACGATCGCTCGCTAGTCAGACTGGCGCCTTTCTGCGCTGTCAGCTGTCGCAATCAGTATCACCTGATTGTTGGGTCGCCACTCTTCCATATACATCGGTAATTGTCTGTGGCGGACTCATCTCTATCTTCCGAGTCTTCTGAAACGCCAATCTTGACACCCCTCGACTCGGTTTCGGGTCGTTGTCCGCGCGAGTCACCGCTGCAGCATCGTGGCTGCAGCCCTTCCTGCTGGACTGACTTTGCTATCTCCAACCGTCAGCTTGACCGACATTTGGTTTTAGAGTGATACGGTGTATTGTGCTTTCGACTGTGGTGCGACATCGCCCTCACATTCTCCCTACGATATCCTCTCCTCCCCTCGCTTCCCCCGTCTCGCTCGTCGACCCCCGCTATCTCCAATCCTGAAACGGCTGAAGGATTCCCGGCCTCAATCGCTGGTGGTAATGTTAGCGTCCATCCCACAAATGGAGACTCTTCACTCTTTGCCTCGGAACCAGGACGTTCCGATGCGACAGCCGTCAGCGGAGGACTTGGATGCTGCTCAGCAGTTGATCTCCTCGGCGCAGGCGGGTCGTGAACATATGGCAGATCACTACAGGGAGGATTCGACGGCTCAGGAGTCTGGCCAGTCTGGACCAGATCGATGGGGACACAATGATCTTCCAGGCCAAAAAACATCACCAAGCGGGCAAAAAAGCGTTATTTTCGTAGGACATTCATGCAGGTGAGTCGTGATTGATTCAATTTGATGCATTGATTGGTGGGCTGACTCCAATCTCCCAGCAATTGCGGTACAAAAAGCACGCCACTTTGGCGTCGTTCCCCGACAGGAGCGATGATCTGTAATGCCTGCGGACTTTATCTCAAGGCTCGCAACGTCGCCCGCCCCACGAAACGAAATCGCATGCAACCAGAAGGCGGCGAAAAGCCGGCTCCTCCCGCTCATGTCAACCCCGATGGTTCCGCACACTCTGGAGGTGGATGCAAGGGCTCGTGTCCTGGTGGTGGGAGTTGTAATGGTACCGGTGGTGCCGAGGGGTGCGACGGATGTCCAGCTTACAATAATCGCATCTACAAGTCCGCACCCCGAGGAACCACTGCCATTCAATCTTCATGGGGACGTGCTCCAGCAAATGAGCCTGGACCCGCGCCGAAAGAGGAGCCACCAGTGAAGGTTCCCGCTTCGAACGATGGGAATAATACTCTCGTTGCTTGCCAAAATTGTGGGACGACCGTGACTCCTCTTTGGCGACGCGACGAACAGGGTCACCCGATTTGTAACGCTTGTGGTTAGCATCCTCTGCTCACATTATTTATGGCTCCATTTGACTGACAGGATGCAGGATTGTACTATAAGCTCCACGGATGCTATCGGCCCACGAATATGAAGAAGTCTATCATCAAACGTCGCAAACGTGTTGTTCCTGCCCTACGAGACCAGTCTCCCACCGCTGCCACCCAGTCATCCAATGGCTCTTCCGCATCTCCAGAAGCCTCGCCTGCTACCTTGGCTCATGGCCACGACGATCATTATCGATATATGAGCAACGAGCCCATGGACCATTATCACATGATGCCTGGCAAAACTGAAGATGCACCCCGACCCATGCCTTTCGCGCCACCACCGGTCGATTTCACCGGCTACAATGTCTCATCTGTGCCTCCTCATGGCGCTTCCATCTCGCACGGTTTACCGATGCTGTTGGGAGTAGAACGTCTGGGTCATTCTCCCGTGTCCTACGGCCGACGCTCGGCATCCCCGAACTCCCTCAACCTTCCCAGAAAGCGAACCTTGGCAGAGACAGCCACGGAAGCCCTGCCAGTCCCCAACACTCTGGAGGCAGGGTCAAATCAGCTGCCTCCGATCATGTCCTCGGCTAACCCCACCCCACCCGGCCGGCTTAGCTCCATCTCATCCATCCTGAACCAACCCGATGTTCGCGGCGAAGCCCGTTCAGATCCCAACCTGAACAGGCCCCAACCCCTCCACCAATCTGTGTCTCCCGCACCTCATACCCCGCAACCGTTGCCTGGCATTGCATCTCTTGGTGACTCGGTAGATCGCCGTGCTAGATTAGAACGCGAAGCCGAGAATATGCGCGAGGCACTCCGAGCCAAGGAGCGCGAGTTGGCCGCGATGAGGCGGTAACCATTCAACGTCTGTCCAAAAGCAGTGACGAAAATAATGTGATCCGGATAATGTTTCTTTTTCTTTTTCTTCTTTTTTGCACTGGTGTTCTCGAGAGATAAATGGCGCACTAAGATACCACCTACTTTGCTGGGAGTCTTACCTGGCTGTGTTATTATTGGCGAAAGTGTGGTTCTTGAATTGTATTCTATTCAGAGGAATCGCTATTCTTTTACCTTCTGGGTTTATTGAAACGTATATCTATTTAGTATTCATCCTCTGTGTCTTGCTTTTGGCTTTTACAACCCCAGACTTTTCAATTCCACGGAATATCGCGACATTTACGACCGGTACAATGATTTTGAAGATCTCGGTTTCTGGTGCTTGCATACTGTACATAGAATGTGATACACCAGAATATGAGCTCTTTCAGAAGTCCGAGCCAAAGCTGCCCCAATTTTCAGATCTACTCCATTCCAATCCCCTCTTTCCTCATATCGAAATCTAACAGCCACCCCGGTCTCCCTCTCTTTCATCCATTACAGTCATACACACTGTAGCAACTTCACACTGCGCAAAGATCCAGTCCCCAACCCTCTCCCTCTTGTTCGTACAATTCTGATCAAAACCGGGGCCAACGCACCCACTCGTCTTGGCATGCACGTATCCGCAAATCAGGGTTCACTTCCCCAGTCTTTGAGGTTAGGGCTGGCGTAGCGCCAAGCAGGAATACGCCATTAAATTGGACGTGGGTCTTCTGGTGCCAGTACAGTGGATTTACTATGAGCCTAAGGCGCTCTAGATCGGTTAAGATGTGTGGACTTTTCTCGTAACTTGTCTTAGAGCGGTTCATTTTGTTGTTTTCTATTTAGTATTTGGTATTGGTTACTTCGTTGTCAAGTTTTGTTGGCTACGGGTTGTGTGCCATTACAGTATGTAGCGCTGAAAGAGAGTACATGTACTGGGCGAGCGACTCCGGATGAAGAAATAGTTAGAGGAAATTCTGTTGGTGGAAGAGTCATGCCCCATGGTGAATTGGGTTTTGACTACATAGGGGTCGACTTTATGGCCAAAGAGAGATTCATAATCACAGTAAGCCAACGGTCTAGATCGGTATTGACTATATTGAACTCTTTTAGGACTTTTAGGCAGATGTATTACTATTTTGATGATGTGCACGGACCGTAATCTTGTGGTCTATGAGAGTTTGATAGTACCTCCCGACAAAGACTGTCGGAAGGAGGAGAATGCACCTGGGATTGCCATTACTCTACTAATACAATAACCTCGAGACTGGGGAGGAATGGCATAGAAACTTCGCCGAGAGGTCTGTATAATCCGAGGATATGCTAACTCATCGAATCATATACACTTAGCTTGGGGCCGAAATTGAACAAGAAGAGTCATGTGCCTCGCAAGTCCCACCAAAACAGACTATTGTATATGCACAATCACAGTAGACCAAGCAAAGGTCCAAGGGGCCATTATTTGAATGGCGATCTAAGATCTTTCCTGGGCTGAATCTTGACAAATCTCAGTTGCAACCTAGACCAAATCGAACTAGCTATTATCCAACTTATTGAATCTGATCCTGATCCGGGGTAGTATGCCATTATTGATGATCTAGCTACAAGGCGGCATCATAACGTACCCCTCCTATGGTCCTCAATTTGATGCAACGCAAGAAACTTCAAACTAAAGTAGCTTGTCGATCATTAGCACGGCAAAGAACGCCTCCCCGAGAGATCAGGAAGGCAACTCCAATTCAGTTCTAAGCACATCATCGGCAGATCTTGGAGTAACGCGGACTGCGGAGGTCAACAGCACTTAACGTCGCAATAGCAATTGAGAACATCCACATATTTGTAGGCCCGTGCGCTGGATGAGCACACCGTGAAACCCGCGTGTACGCGGAGGCATGTGGCACTGATGTCCGGGGTGGAGTTCCAAGTCTGCATTATTGAATAGTGGCGATCATTGCGGAGCTCCTTGACAGGGGCGCATTTAGTGTGGTGCAAAACATGTTCCCGGGGGATGGAAAATGATCACCAATCCTTGGCTGTAGTTGGTCTAGTTGATTGAGTAGTTTTGAGCGAGTAATCGGTTTTTGTTTCCTTTACAGAAGTGTAGTTAAAGAACAATAGGGATGTTTGGTGTCAGGGGTATCCATGTTGACTCTGTAGCCTGAATAGGAAGTGATATGCGCACTGTTTTCTGTCAAGTTGATAGTCAAGGTCGTTTGTAAATCGTGTCTCATCCTTCTCAGGGAGAAATATCAGCCCTGAGTCAGATTTCCATTAACTCGGTATTTGGTCGGGCACGTCTGCAATTCCAGTGATGCTTGGTGAAGCTGCATATGCATTCAATACCTCGGCACATGTACTCTGTCGCGGAGTAAGCGGAGAACAAGCTTCATGCAACGTCAATAATGTAACACGATCCTGGACCATGTGTGCCCTGCCTGTATGCCCTGCACTATTCCCCTGGACAAGGAGCAACACACCCGCAGCCATTGAAAACGCGGCATAGTGTCCACTATGGTGGGTCAACTCTCTAAAAAAGAGGCCCGTTCTCGAGTGCCCATACTCAACAGGGGAACTGTAAAAGACAGCTCAGGATTTCCATGGCCCATTCGGCGGCCACATGTCAATCGTATCCTTCTTCTGACCCCCCCCGAATGGTACTGCCGGAAAACCGCCTCTCGGGGTCCATACCTCGCCTATGCAGGTGGAGACCAGGCGACTAAATCCGCGCTAAAGGGTTCCATTGATGTTTCTCTGCAGGCTGCTTGGTCGTTTCCATTGGCGGACCGTATGGCGTGCGTCTTCACGGCAGCCCAAGCCTCCCAGAAACCTGGTTCAGTACCTGGGGATCGCTGCCTTATGGGTGCGCTATTGAGCAGACTATTCAAGCATTGTGGGGACGGTAAGCAAGCGAACAGCAAATCTTTGTCGACCCATGCATGAACTGACTGTTTCTCCGCAGTTTGGGAAGCCACTGATCGACATTTGGACTGAGTTCAAAAGAGCTTGTCCCCGTTCGCTGTCCCGAAGAGGACTCTTTCTTCTCAGGTATCAGATTCGCTTGGGTGAAACTCGACTTCAACGCCAATAGTGCTCGATGCAGTGAGCAAGAACAATTGAGGGTATCCGTGCCGCCTTGATCTTGGGCATGACCTATTAAATATCTTCACCCCCACGCTCTTTAGCGACTATTCCCACTACTACGCTCTTTATTTCGACATATATACATATACACCATGAATGGTTCTCTACACGCTTTGATGGCTCGCGATGGGGACAATGGCCATTCCCAGGGTCAACGTGCATTGGTAGTGACGACGGTACTGACCGCCATTTCCACCGTCATTGTTGCCATGCGGTTATACGCACGACTCGGTTTGATGAAGATCACCGGTCGAGAGGATTGGGCTATTCTGATTTCCTTGGTGTTTGCTCTGGTTTACCTAGCCCTCGTTGCTGCTCGTGAGTTCAAGGTCTGGTTGTGAATTTGAGGGACACCCACACTAACAGTGATTTTAGAACTACACTATGGCATGGGAATCCACTCAGATCTGCTTCCTAGTAATGTTCTGCAGCAACAACTCAAGGTATGTGCCAACAGGTCATCTCCTACTTTAAACGATGTCCAATTTCACTTCGAATTCCTGCTGACAGACCTACCCCAGTGCTTGTGGGCTGCTATCCCCATGTATAACGCCAGCTTGGCATTCACCAAGTTCTCCATTCTCTTCCAATATCTACGCATTTTCCCTGGTCGATCATTCCGCTTCGCTTGCTACATTATGATGGCCATCGTGGCCACCTACTCAGCATGGGCTATCATCAGTGGCTACGTGAACTGTGTTCCAGTGGCGAAATTCTGGAACCACGACCTGCCAGGCAGCTGTTTAAGTTTTGAGGCCGTCTGGTTCTTCAATGCTTCTATGAATATCGCAACAGACGTTTCACTTCTTCTGTTGCCGATGCCGCTCCTTTCTAAACTCCAACTCCCCCGCATGCAAAAGCTCGCTCTTATGGGTGTCTTCGCAATCGGTATTCTGTATGTGTCCCAGACCGCGCTTGAATGGTCAAAAGTGGAGACTAACATATCACCTAGGGTTGTGATTACCAGTATCCTCCGTCTATCAAGTCTCCGCCAAGTAGCACAGAGCACCGATACTTCTTGTACGCACTATCCACATTAAACCTCGACCCCCAAAACCAAAGCTAACGAACAAAACAGACAGCAACGTCGGAGCCGCCTACTGGACCGCAGCAGAGTGCAACGTCGCAATCATCTGCTCATGTCTACCCGTCCTACGACCAATTATCAGCCGCATCTTCCCCAAGCTCCTCTCTACAAACAGCTACAACCGCTACACCTCCAAGAACAGACCCACCGTCACCAACATGACCACAACCCGCAGCCAAAGACGCCACACGGAGCTTTTCAGCCAGAACCACGACAAGGAATATGATATGTACTCCATAAATGTCAAACCTGGTGACCGCGCAAGCCACAGCTCTCTTAGCGGTATCGAGGTTACTACCGAGATGAGTATCATGCAGGACTCATCTAAGCATGAGTTGACTAAACACGATAATTCCAGTGAGCGGCGGCTAGTTACGGATGTTTGATGACCCTTTTGACCCTTATTCTTTCGCTTCTTTATATATACGGTTATTTTCAGTCCAGCATACGGGCGACTATTTTCTCTTCTAATGACTGCATGGTGACGGCTTACTTTGGTTTCTTGTCTTCTCCTTTTATTTGGCTCGGGTTTGCGATTTGGGAGGTACCTTTTGAAATGGGTGGCTTACTGACATTTCTGTCTTTTTTTTTTTTAACCCCTTTCTCGTTATATTTAATCATGGTATTCGAACGGATTATCTTGTCTTTCTACATTTTTTTTCAATAGCCGCGATATAACCTCAAGACACTACAACTACTTTCTATCTATTTCCTGAAAGCCACAGTCTCTCTATGATCCTAGCGATCTTATACGTGGCCTGATTTATGGAATCGTCTCAATCATACATATGCTGGAATTGATCGTTTCACCTCTAGCAGCCGTTATCGAAGCATATACTCGCACCAAGCACGAAAAGAGAGTTAACCTCGATGGACCTTATAATGTGTATGATATAATCCTTACTTCTTGAGATGTATGTCAGGTTGATCTTCTTTGGGAGTCTGGGCGTGGACCCGTCATGAAAGTGGCAGATTAAAGAAGAAATCTGCAACGAATATCCGCGCAATCGTATAGATCATCAGATTGATTCCAGGGACACATGAAATGAAAATAGAGATCTTCAAGAAAGGAACAGCAAAACATAAATCGTAATGTCTAGAGGCATACGCCAAGTCTATCTATATACCGAAACACCAAATCTAAAAGTCTAATAAAATCAAGTAACATGCTCCTTCTCCTCCTCCTTAGGAATCCGAACCCAAACAATCGTAACCAAAGCAGCAAGCAACTGCGCCGCAAGAGCAAACCACCAGATAGCATGCAACCCTTCAAGCCCGATCTCACCAGACGGACCACGATCAACACGGGTCCCAATAGCATCAGCAACACTAGTCATAATCGCTGACGAAAGATTCTGATTCGTAACCAGTAACGCACCCGCACTACCCTGGTACGAGCGAGCGACATTACTAGTAATGAAAATAGAAGCAGCCGCAAAAGCAAGATCAGGACCGAAAGTGACGAGCGCAACACCAGGGAAAGAAAGAGCCCAGTAGATCGTGTTGGCAGTCTGGGGAATGAAGAATGCCGGTCCGAGCGTGAAGGCGAACATCGATACAGCGTAGATATAATGACCCGGGACGAGGTGGAGGATTCGACTGACGATCCATGTTGCTAGCACGCCGACTAGTGCGTTGGGGATGTGGTAGAGAGCCACGGCGATGGGCGTGGCGTGTTGGATTCGGAGCCAGAATTGGATCGCGTAAAATTGCCAGCAGCCGAAGAATGACCCGAAGCCCAGGAAGTAGGCTATCATCAAAGGCGTGAAGCCTGGTGTACTCCAGAGGCGGTTGGGAATGAGAGGGCGGACAGCGCGGCGTTCTGCGAAGAATAGGCCGACGAATAAGATGAGACTGATGATGATCAGAACGTAGGTGTATGGTTGCCAGGAGGCGACGGGTCCTTGGGTTAGACCGAAGAGGAGACAGACACAGCCGCCAGCGGCGCAGAAACCGCCTAGATAGTCGAATTGACGGAGGGTTGGTGCTTCAGTGCCGGCGACATCAGCAACGGGTCGCAGTGGTGGGATGCTGAACCAGGCTGCAACGCAGAGCAGTGCGCAGATGATGGCGTTTGATCCGAAGATCCATGGAAGGTGTTGGTATAAAGCACCGCCTTGGATAGCGCCGAGGGAGAACCCAAATGGAGCGCACGCTGCCATCGCGGAGAAGACGCGGTTCTTGCGGATTCCTGGTGAATAGACGCGCCCGAGGATGCTCATACTGCCAGAGACCAAGACGCCGATTGCCAAGCCCTGCATGGCGCGCATCACGAAGAACAGGATATAGCGGGACGGATGCAGAGTGAACACGCCAATGATATTCCATACCGCGAGCCAAGCGAACGCTCCGACCATTAAGAGTTTCGGTGGTGCCAGGTCAGTCAGCGAGCCGGATATGATAACCGACAGGCCGTTCGCGACATTGAAGGCGCCGACGACCCACGGGAGTTCGGTATTGGTGATGCCGAGGGCTTTTTTGATTTGTTCTTGCGGAGCGAGCATGTCGCCGAGCAGGAATGAGAATAGCATTAGGCCTGCTGAGCAGACGAAGATTAGGATGAGCTCCGCTGTGAAGTTCGGGATCTCGGGCGGGATGCCTTGTTTGCTTCGGATCGGGGATGCCGCTTCGTCGGCGACATCGTCCCGACTGCGGGATCCCGAGATTGAGGCCTTTCGGTTTGTTACTTGGGGTCCTTTGGTGTCGATCGTGTAGGGCTCATCGGGTTCTTGGTCCATCTTTTTGAATGATAAATTTTGGAGTGCGACGCTGTCGACGATGGTGGTTCCCATTAATGGATCTGGGGTTTGTGCCCCGGTCGCTGGAGTCGAGTACGTCCTTGTATAGGACATCGAGGACCGACTGGATTCAGGTGCTGAGTCTGCATCTGGAAGCTCTTGACTTGGATCTGGATGTTGGCTGGGTTCAGTGTGGGTGACAGGGTCCTGTGGACGCTCTGCGCCCGCACGATGCTCGTTCGACATGCTGGGACAGTCGAGGCCAGAAACGATACTTGGGATGGGGGATGAAGAAGAAAAAAAGTAGGAAAGCTCACATGAAATATGAGCGCTTGTGGCGAAAACGGACTAAATATTGTGTGGTCGATGGTGGAGTGGGTGGAACTCCACGAAAATAAGGTCGACATTTAACCGCTTCTCTTCTACGTATACATTACATGTACTTCTACATCACTCCCGGGCACATATCAGAATCCCTTGCGGACGCTTGCGTGTACTGTCGAACAGTGGGACCGACGATCTGATCTTACTGCGCATCAGTTATGTCCAGCGGACGATACCTGCCCAACCAAGTCCTCTTATCTAGGGATGCATAGCTACGACCACGCTAAACCCCGGCATATTCCTGTTCTTGTATCTGACGTGGAAGAGAAGAAGTGAAACACAATTGAGGACAATCATTGCGAGGCAAGTGAGACAGTCGATCTATTCACAACATGTGAGATGCGTGATGGAATGCCACTAGAGAATGAAGTACGAAGCGCCGCATATCAATACATGTCTGCCCTTAGATCGACAGGGATTCACTCGGTTAAAGAGTTTTCACTTTGCTATCGACTTTATCCACGAGTTTTATGCCCAATCGGATGCACGGCTTCATATCCTCGTGTCGGAACCCGATTTCCGAGGGAAAAGGAGTGACCGAAGCAGGTCCAGTCGGGATCTTGCATGGATGTTCGGTCGGCCCAGGGTGTGTTCGGGATGCATATATGGGCAATAGTTACGTCCCCAAAGATGAGTCGAGTTTGTAATGATCGTCAGAATATCAGGGGATGGAATTTGTTATCGCTTCAACCTCCCTGCCTCCATTGGGTAGCGAATTGGGTAGCGAACTGGTGGGACTCTGTATAACTAGTCACAACCGCAAGTCTGGGATAGCTGGTGTTGTGATTTGAATGTTAACTTCCTTCTCGTGCATGTTCGGGTGATCACCACAGCCGCTGTCGTTCTGTGACCCTTCGCTGCGGGACCAAGCTTTGATCAAGATCGCCCTGCATGCATGCAACGTCATGTTTGGCAGATCCTCTCCTTACTGGGCCATGATTCTACCATATTTGAATTCTACCTGCTGACCTGTATGATTTCAGAAGAAAACGATTGGACATGGTCTTTCATTCGTAACGCCATGGTCTTTCATTCGTAACGCTATGTAATTTCAAGATGCTTCTATGATTTATGCGGACTTGCCGAAGACCTTGAAGCGGTCCTCAACAGGAGCAAAGGTCTTCTCTCCAGCATCGGAGGTAGGAGCACCGAAGACCAGCTGGGCATCCAACTTCCATGAGGCGGGCAGGTTCCAGGTCTTGGTGATCTGCTCGTCAATCAGGGGGCTGTAGTGCTGGAGGTTGGCGCCGAAGCCCTCGGACTCAAGAGCGAGCCAGACTAGTCATTGTTAGATTCATGTCTGTCATGTTAAATCGGACGGGAAAACATACCAAGGTACTGAGACATGGCGTTGGACTCCAGGGCGAAGGGGTCGAACTTGTCGGCGTAGATGGCGAACTTCTCCTTGATAGGAGCGAGGGACTCGTAGTCAACGAAGAAGAGGACCTGGAAATAGCAATCAGCAAGTAATTCACTATTTTGATGTGCGTTAGGCTTCAATCAACAGAGCACGTACAGTTCCGTAGGCAGCGCGGAAAGCGTTCAGCTTGGGCTTGGTGGCGGTCTCAAACTGCTCCTTGGGAACGTGGCCGGCAGCAACAAGGCCCTCCATGGCGCTGATGGCGATATCCCAGACCTTCTCGTGCTCCTCCTTCAGCAGGAGAACAACACGGGAGGTCTGAGTGTTGAAAGAGCTGGGGACGTGGAGAACGGAGTCCTGGACAATGCGCTCAATGGCATTGTCGGAGATAGGGCTCTCAGCCTTGAGTCCGTAGTAGGTACGACGGGACTTGACCAACTCCAGGAGAGTGGTGGTAGCGGGGTTCTTGAATTCGCTCTTTGTGAAGGTCATTGTGAAGGTGAGGGGTGTAGTGGGGGTGGATTGGAATGGATGGACAAACCAAAAGTCCTAGGATGGCGGCGTTTATATAGATCGGCTCACATAGTGGATTGCAAATTCATTAATGGCCAGATCACCATTTTTTCTATTTCCATCCGTCGATTTCTCACAATTGTCCCGCAATAGCGGATAAAACGCAACAATTGACCAATCAGACAAAAGCCGGATGTACGGAGTTACATAGTGCCGAGTGGGTAAGCGGGCCAAATTAATCAGCAGCATTATGAATCCGTGACAAAGCATTACAGCACGGTTTCTAGCGGAATTATTTCCGTGCTGACACTTGGCCCTATTGACCCCAGTCTTATATGATCCACATGTGTGAATGCATGCTGTTGAAAAGACGAGCACAAATATATGTTCTTCAAATTTGTAAATTGAGAATACATCAGTAAACTAGGATCCTCCAGTCTGCGCGAGTAATAGGATATCCTCTAGAGAATCATGCATCCCAAACCTGGAGTTTGGAAGAAGAAAATTACTATACAACTCTTCAGAGTGAGACTCTTGCGGCGGGAAACTCGGCAGCTGCATTGATGAAAGTGGCGAGTGTGCTTCGGTGGGAGGCATATTATCAGCTGGTTGCGATTTACTTGCACGACCCACTGATACCTCTTGGTCACAGAAAGACTGGACAAGACCGCGGATATCCCACGAAGATGATAATTTCCCTCGGTCCTGCTCAAACTGAAGCAACAGGCGCAGTATCTTAACGCCCCTAGCAGCAATCATACTTGTATCGCTTTGGGACAAAATCTCAATTGTGTCGTTAGCCAGCGCGCGGTTATCTCGTTGGTCAGAGTCAGGAAGTGGATCGAAAAAAAGATCCAAGCAAAGTATGATCTAGAACAAAGATTAGGCTGTGCGGCACCAAACGGATATCGGGAGGAACCCACACTAGCTGCAACGCTAAATGCGTGATAAATCCACAGTGTTGGTCCGTTCTCCTTGGTCAGTTGTTTCTGCTCCCGAATTATAGTTTTAGCCGCCGCAATACACGTTTTGCGAGTAAAGTTAAATGCCGAATTTGTAAAACTGGACCAAAGGAACTTGCGATGAATCATGATAATTTTGTGCGCGGAGCTGATTGTCAGACAATGGCGTGCCCAGGGTATATATCGAGGCCAAGAGGGGTCAATGGCGGTGTTGCGAAGACATGAGGGAACATCCTTGCTAACAAGCGAGCGCATTTGCTTATCGTACCGAATGACATGCTCATATTTGGCATATAGTGTGTGCGACGCAGATATATCATCCTGAAGCTGGGGCATGAGGGTTGCGATGTCATACAGAAAACGATGGTAAGTAACAGGGGTAGGCTCGTTATCAGGGGCTGGTCTCATATCGCCATCATCCATGCTGTTCATAGGCTTGCCTGTATTAAAGTCCCTTCGATGAATGAGATAGCTTTCTGAAAATGGTATCGAGAACCAATCTTGGATACAAAGCTCTGCCCAGAGCCGCCGGCCGATCTCTCTTCGTGCTCTATTTGATGTATCGTCATCGGCTTCGGAGCCAAGTCGGTGCATTCCTAGACTTTGTGCAACCCGCACAACGGATGCTAGTTTGACGGAATGACTATTTGAATGGCCGAGCAAATGCGCGCTTATGGTCATAGTCGTGATACATTGGATTCCGTATAAAGAGTGACGAGCAGTGTAATCTGCAAGATTCAGACAGACTAATGCAGCCTTGAAGAATCGGTGAGCCAGCGTTGCACGCTCTGGGTCTTCGAATCCCCATGAAACAGCTGTTGGGCGCGGTGCACATGTTATGCTTCCTGCGAGGACGGCGAAGAGAAGCGCAACCCACTGGAGATCGATTTGGTTGGTTTCGATATGACCGTGATATCGTTTGAGGAAGGTATCAACCTCTTGTTGAAATACGCGTCCATGGAACGATGCATGGTACCATAAAAGACACTCGCAGTGGTAGTTTACCATCCGAAGTAAAGTTGGCGGCTCGGGAAGTAAGAGCTGTAAGACTGGAAGTGAAGACTGGTCATCAGTCAAACGCAACTGAGGATGATCAGCAGGACCTCCAGGTTGAGATACATCTCCAGGAGACTGTCCCTGAATCCCGTTTTGATCCCCAGCTAGACCGTCGAAATCAGGGACTTTCCTCCGACCCCATGCCAAGAATTCCAATATTGTTGCAGCATCCTCGACCTCGGCTGTCTCACGACTGGGACTGGGGTCGTCTGCCTCGGATGGAATTCGCGTTGATGGCGTTTGTCCCGCTGACAACGGCACTGCGCTATCATCCAAATTCGGACTCAAGCGTTCGCCTGCATTCACTGACTGAAGTGTCGCTTGCAACTCATTTAAACAGGCGGCGAGGGTTCCTGTGAGCTCGGTCGGGCGGGATACGCGGGAAATGTGTGGGGATTCTGCAGTTACTCGCGGATGGGACAAAGACTGCGGAGTGCGGTAACAGGAACTGCCTCTAGATATCCGTGTAAGGAACTAACATAGTTAAGCAAGGGGGTTGACACTCACCTATGGCGGCAATTCCGACATGGCAACACCTTATCGCACTTGATCTTTCGACGGGTACACTCTGCACATGCCAATCGCTTCCTTCTTACCGAGTTCATAATAATAATAAAGGTTCCTGACCACACGGGTGAGAGACGGGTTGGGTGATTCTTGGCTTTATATGCGTTATCATCTCGGCCGATGCTATCACTTGGCTGATCCGTGATAGCTGATAAGCGATATGCGATGCCATTGGCACGCCTGACTACTTGTATACTGGAATGCTGGGGACAAACATGTTGAGAACGCCTCAGAGTATGATATCGACTTGTTCGCCGCTCTGTAAGTTATTAGCTTTCACCTTCCGTTATCTAGGAGCCCCGGATGATTCTTCCCCGTTGCTACTTCAACAAGCCCTCAAAAGACCAATGTTGCCCCCTGTATCAAGGTCTTGTCAACAATGATGCGTTTGCGTACCCATCGCAAGGATTGGGCATTGCCCAAACAAGAAAGCAGTGTAGCTCCACCACATGTGTGGAGTAACGCCGATCAAGACCCAGTTCCCCCGGAGAAATGGACATGGACCGGCTGGACTTTCACACAATACTGGCTGTCAGACCTGGTCACTGTATCAACGTGGTCGGCGGCCAGCTCGGCATATGCATCTGGTCTATCCGCCACAGACACAGTGACTTTAACCTTAGTCGCAGCGCTATGCAATGCCATCCCAACAGTCCTCAATGGAGCCGTGGGAGCTGATCTGCATATCGCATTTCCTGTCGCTATTCGTGCCAGCTATGGTACATATTTTGGATATTTCTGTGTGGCATCGCGTGCTATGCTGGCTCTGTTTTGGTTCGGCATTCAGAGCTCGTATGGAGGGCAATGCGTGACCGCAGTAGGCACACTCCCATTACCGTTGAAATACCCGAGCTGACATGGAGACAGATGATTACAGCCATATGGCCCAATTACGCACACCTTCCTAATCATCTGCCAAAGTCGGCCGCTATTACGACGCAGGGCATGGTTTCCTATGTTGTTTATCATGTCATTCAAACACCATTCCTCTTCATTCCCACTCATAAGCTCCAATATATATTCATTTTCAAGTCTATGCTCGTGCCACCCATGGCATTGGCTACGGTGATCTGGATTTCCGTGAAGGCAGGGGGTGGCGACGCTATATTCAAGCAGCCACCCACTGTTCATGGCTCGGAGCGTGCATGGTTGTGGCTCATGAACATGACCTCAATCACAGGTAAGCAAATATCTAATCTACTCCTTGAATATAGGCTCACCCTTCTTAGGTGGCTTTTCGACACTGGCGGTCAACATTTCAGACTTCTCCCGCTTTAGCAAGAAGCGTGGGAGCCCTGTATGGCAACTACCAATGATTCCCCTGTTCAAGGTTATTACCGGTCTTTTCGGTATCATAGCCGCCGGTGCGTCCAAACAACTATACGGTACCATTCTATGGAGCCCACTAGAAATAATCGCTCAATGGCAAGGATCCTCTGGCGGACGAGCCGCGGCGTTTTTCTGTGGATCATTATGGTTACTTGCTCAAATCTGCAACAACGTCTCAGCGAACTCTGTATCATTTGCCAACGGTCAGTTCGATTGAATGAGAAACACGAAATCACACTAATATCTTCCTAGATGTTGTTACCATGTGCCCGAAATGGATCAACATCAAGCGTGGGATGATCATGTGTATTCTCCTAGGCGGATGGGCTCTATGTCCCTGGATTATCATCAAGAGCGGGAAGACTTTCCTTAGCTTTATGGGTGCATATGCAATTTTCATGGCGCCCATTGCGGGTATTCTCTGCTGCGATTACTGGGTCATCAAGCGACGCAAATACGACGTTCCGGCTTTGTTTGACCCCCGAGGAATATATTACTATAAGGCATGTTTCTTCGAACACTGAGAATGGAGATATGACTAACTTATCACTTAAATATTTAGCTTGGCACTAATTGGCGTGCTCTCCTATGCAATCTGTTCGTCATTGTGCCGCTTCTCCCAGGGCTAGCACATGCTGTGACACCGAATAATGTCAACCTCGATGCGGGCCTGCAGCATCTATATGCGATCAACTATCTTTATGGGTTCAGTCTCTCCTTTACTCTTTACTTTGTGTTGAATTATGTCTGGCCTGATCGAGCAACGCTGGTGCCTGCCGTGGTACCAGGTGTTGTTTGCCCTTTAAATGCAGTGGATTCGGATTTAGAGGCAGATGTGGGCACAGGATATCTGACGCAATCATCTACCAAAGCCAAGGCGTGATTCGACAGGACTGAGTCTTTCTTTATTTTGCTTAATAACAGATAGTAACTTATTGCAATTCCTCTCGTTCGCACTTTACCGCAGTTACTCATGTAGGCCAGCAGATTGTATAACCCAGTATCTCCCTGCATGAGCTATAGAAATGCGAGTTGTCTCAGATGTATTAACACAGAAAGCAGACAGCGTCATTTAAGTGTACCAAAGTAGAATCAGAACGATGAATTCAAGTTTGGTACTTGATATCATACACAAATTGGACCTGGAGTATATAATGGGCACAAGGATCCGAATCTCAGCTTATACTGTATACTAGACAGGACTGCTGTCCGGTACACTCATCAAGGGCGAAGAGATACAAGAAATTGTGCTAATGTGTATTTTGTGTGAAAACTCGCGATAACCCAACACAAATATCCTTGTAGCCTACATCGAAGGATGATCTGAAGCTGCAACATTACACTGATGCATAATTCTCGGCCCATATGCCTCTGGGAACTCAGTCTGTCCATTATTAGAATGCGTCTTAGTCAAATCAGGAGTATCAAATCTTACGATGCTATGCCACAATGCCCGGTTGTACCAGAGAATGACATCCTGCTCCTGATGAGGATGCGCGTAAATATTTTCTGGGGACAAAACGGGACTCATGATTCTACGGCCACTGGTCAGTCACACAACTTTGAAGGGACAGGGTGACGGAAACTCACTTGTCCATAAAAGCGCGAACTTCTTTCAAATCCTTTACAACTGTTTCTTCGCCATCGGGTTTGTTTTTCAGATACAGCTTGAATGCTCCCTGGCCGTGAACCTGCAGTGACTTCTCCCCGGTCACAGGATTAGTCCAAACCATGGGATACACACAGATCTCATCCTCCGTCCACGGTGAAAGCCTGTCTAGCGGCATTTCCCGGCCCTCAGTTTCGATAAGGTGGCCAAGCTGAGTGCTACGCGCCGTGGACATCCACTGGAATGCGTGCGGCGCATACTCAATACGACTGTTGAGGACGATCTCGCGCAACTCCGGATCTAAGAGTTGCAGTGCCCTTGACCCAGCGACCATAGCCGTTGCCCCTGGCGCAATGTCCATTGTTCTTCCCGTCCCATCGCCCCAGTGCACAGTGACATCGGGGCCCTTGGGCGTGCGCACGGCCAGAAGACAACCTACACGCGGTGGAGGAATCTTATAGAGGGATCCATCCCAGTGCCATTGGTAGAAGCGACTGGATCCTGCATCTCTTTCCTCCTGCGGGGTGTGGGGTGGAAGGTGGAAGTTGACGTGGTCAATCCCCTTCACTTTGAATCCTGGTGGGAAATCGAAATGGTCCTTGGGAACTTCGCCGCGCCCCAGAATGTGAACCTGGGGTTGAGCGTTGATGGCTGGTCGACTGGGGAGACCATATATCGTGACTCCCTTGTCAGAGTGAAGGACTGGGTCGGCGCCGTGGGCAAAGCCTCCCGTCTTTTCTTCGGGGTCAAAGCTATTGAACAACAGATTATCAGCAGGGGGGAAAAGGTAATAAGCGTTGAAGACATACCACGAAGTCAAACGGTATTGCTGTTGAGGTGTCAACATCTCCGGCTGCTCTTTGAATACAAGCAGCTTGTGACGGTGGACGGCGTCGGAGATGAGATCGAAATCGGCTGAAGTGAAGTTGTTGAGATCGATACCGTATACCTCCGCTCCGAAGTCTACCTGAGTCTCATGTTTGATTGGCACCACACGTCCATTGCTGTGAATGGCTGAAGGAGGCTGATAGACCTCGCGAACAGTCAGGGTCTTTGGCGCTACGCCCTCAGTGGCAGTGGTAGAAACAGCAAACACCATGGTGACTATGGCTGAATCGATTTCCGGTTCTCGATTCAAATCGGTAAAATTGACCTTTTTATCACGTCAAGGCTTTTCCATGTAACATTCAATTGGACAGAAGGGGCATATCGTCGACCGGATCGCGGGTAGATGCGCAACTCAACTCGGCCGTATTCGGATCCGTTGATCGGGTTACTAAATTAGCAACGTGGGGCTTTTCATGAAGTATGTTGAGCCTATTCTATTTACTGACACCCTCGGCTTAATTGACGGAGAAAGCAAAGCTCAGTTCGAACATGAGAACAGACAAAATGGATACTCCCGCTATATCATTCTACCATAAAACAGCCAACGGCACAAATTTGCACTATACACAGACCGGCAACGAGCTAGGCCCTTTGATAATTCTTCTTCATGGACTAGGGGGATCAGCCAAAACGTTCGAATCTCTGCTACCATTCCTTTCACCTCATCTGAACCGTTTAGTCTGCGTGGACTTTGAAGGATTCGGTCAAACCGCTTTGTCCACACCAGAGACTGTCCTTTCTATCCCTCGCTATGTCAATGACCTGGAATATCTCGTGGCATCTTTGCAAGACCATTCTCAATATACAGCAGGGACTAAGCTCATCCTCATCGGCCACAGCCTCGGAGCTATCGTCTCAATGCATTACGCCTCCAGACATCCATCACAAATTCGAGGGCTCGCTGTACTCGGGCCTGGACGATCAATTGCCCATAGTTCCGCGGCGAGAGAAAGAATGCTAGGCCTGGCCGCAAAGACGCGAATGGAGGGTATCCAAGCCGCGGCGGATATGGCCGCAATCTCCAACTTCCCAACTCAGGGCTCGGTTGCTCTTGAAGCTCGAGAGTCTGTCCGAGAGGCTGTGAATAGCTGTGACGCTGAGGCGTATGCTAGAGCGTGTGAAGCAGTTGCGAATCTGAATCATCTTGATCCTGATTACAGCTCTATTAATGCACCAACTTTGTTGCTGGCTGGAAGTGGGGATATCATTTCACCGGTGGAAAGATCGTTGGGACTGAAAGAGCTCGTTGGAGATGGTGCCTGGGTGAGGGTCCTTGATGGCGTTGGACATCAGATGCTTCTACAGGACTTGACGGGATCTGTTGAGGCAATTCAAGAGCTTCTGGAAAAATCCAATTAGTGAATTTTCTCAATACAGCCGAATCAACATAATTTCTGCAAAACTCCACCTTATCTAATGCGTATTGATCGCTAAAAAATGACGCGACGTACAAAATAATTTTCGGCGTTGGTAACACGGCTTTCTGTCTACCTCTATCTAGCTAAGACCATTAATGGTTTTATTGTCCAGGTGGCATAGTGCATGTTTTTCTGGTCATCTGTCGTTTCATTGTCAAATATTAGCTGAACTTTTCATCAGCATTTCCAGGGTGCTTGTCTTGCGAAGAGAGACTTGAGTACTTTTGTTGGCTAGGTTCTGCGTAATCAGCAATTGATAACATGGCCCTATCTTCACGGCCGGGATGATTCTGTTTGAACTTGAATCCCGCTCCGCCATCCGTCAGGCGATCCGGGGATTTGTGAAATCGCAATAGTGATTAATATTCAAGCCCTGAGGAATAAATTCAACCCGCAGGTGATAACAAACCCCGTAAAGTCTATGATGCCCGTGAGTATCTGCAGAAATGCCACCCGACCTCGGCCGACCTCGGCCGACCTCGGCCGAACAGCAGATAGGCTAAGCCAATCAAATGCAATGTAATTGATAAGCAGCTACTCAAATTCTGGGGAAAGGGCCCGTAATTGAGGCTATCAACTGAATAAATAACATCATCGCTGCTCAGGAAATTTGCTTAATACACGCAATCAACTGTACAATGGATGGATCTACTTCTTTTACCGTGGCTCCGGTCGAGCGAACCCCAGGGCAAAAATTCAACGTAAGTGGTTGTTTCATGATCTTAAAGGAGGTATTCCAAGTTAATGATTCGATAGTTCGGAGCTCGTGTGACCGGAGTGGATTTAAACAATATCTCAGGTGGGTCTTACAACCAGTATCATAGTATCATAGTGTGACGAGCTACGTTCTGACAAATTATGTAGACGAGGATGTTGATCGCCTCAAGGCTGCTGTTTGGCGGCATAAGGTTATCGTTGTCAAGGCTCAACACGATTTGGATCCTAAAAAGCAATGGGAATTGGTGACCCGGCTCGATCCAAAGGCCAGCGATGGCCACAGCCACGGTGATCTAAAGACATTCCGCGCGAAGGGAGGACTTCTAGCAGTAAGTGTTCCTACTCAGTAACTTCATAAATTACGTCAAGTTCTAACTCGGGCCCTTTCAGCAAGGGAGAGAGGTTGTTGCAATTCCTGGCGCGGAAAATGTACGCCTGATCGGCAAGGGTTTCCAAGGAGAAAATCACTTTGGCATTGAAAACCATACTATTGAGCGTGGACTGAGCAACGACTTTCATGCTGTTCCCCCATCCATGGAAGAATTTGAAAAGGGCATCACGCGTTTTCAACGCTGGCATATCGATGCTCCGCTATACGGGAAAGATCCAGCATGGTTCACAACTCTACGATGCGTTACACTTCCCAAAGGACCTGATGTCACCGTCGAGTGGGCCGACGGGTCGGGCCGAACTATCAAGTCCCCGCCTGGCCAGACTGCATTCTTTAGCACTTCCCAGCTGTACCAAATGTTAACCCCTGAGGAGCGAGCGCTTGTCGACCATAGCTGGGTCGAATATGCGCCATATCCATACAAGTGGACCGAGCGTTGCAAAGGCAATTCCAATGGTCTAGGTCTGGCAGAAGGGGGTGAACGTCTAACGATGGAAGAACTGGGAGAATACGATCCGAGCGCAGTAAAGAAGGTACCGGATTCACTTTCCATCTTCATTCAATACCATATTTGCTAAACTCACAAAACAGTACCCTTTGGTCTGGGTAAATCCCCTCACAGGCGAAAAGGCCTTCCAAGTACATGGTAATTGCGCTCGAAAGCTCTATCTACGCAGCTCCCAGGACGAGGAGCCTCGTATTATAGAGGATGTTACCGAAATCGTGAAATTCCTCTTGGATATCCAAAATCGAGTCTTGAAGCCGGAGTACGTCTTGTTGGCTCCAGCCGAAGAAGGAGACATGGTCGTTTGGGATAATTATGGGGTCTTTCATTCGGCTATTGACTACCCGATTAGCATGGGTCCAAGGTCAATGCATCAGGCAAACATCAGTGGAAGCATTGGCCCGAGAGGGCCAGTGCCCATCCCCTTGAAAGCCTAAATATCATTTACTCGATAATGGACTATGCCAGTTGCTTTTAAGATATGGATAGCTTCAACCCACTCATCCTGCCATATATTTTTCGCCCGCTCTTAGGTATTCCACAAGATATCAGATAATGCGAAGAGGCCAAAGCACGCAATGTCGAACATTGCAGAAAGTACAACCGAGTATTGGAGAAAGGCAAGATACCTGCCAAGCTATTTACCTTTGTGTAACCAATAGGTGCGATCTAAAACACAGGTTTTAGGCCGGAAGGTAGGATAGTTAGAAGCGAAAAAACAAAAAAACAAATTCAGTACTGTAAGATTCCACGGTCCGGATGCCATCTATAACATTATATAATCATAGTAACTTAAGTACACGTTTCATTCTGCCAGGGACATGACTCTATCAGCCTACCGGCTGGTGAGTAGGATCTCCAAGAACTGGGGTGTGTCTACTTGAAACTCTGCCTGCCTTTGCCATACGTGAGCCCCAGTAGCACCAAGTTCATGCATTGCTCTCTATTGTCAAGGCTACAGAGATATCTACCGTTTCAGACCTTTGTATAGTGATACTACTTGTATTTTTATCATTTATGGTGGTTGTTGGTTTACCAAGGCAGCGATCGCGCCCTCCTGGCTGTTCTCGAGTAACTACCGCGTTTCTCCACTTGTACCGAGTTCAACCACATAACGTATTCTGTAAGCGAGTGGTGTTTGGGGTGCACCACTCGCTTACATGCACCACTCGCTTACAGAATACGTTACTTGCTTCCGAAGTACATAGCCTTAAAGATGCCCTGCCAGGCCAACGGGGCACTCCACGAGCATTGAAATAAGTGCCTGATTCAAGAATTCTTACAGCTCCCTTATCTACTTCTTCGTCGCATTGACTGCGTTGTCCACCTGGCGGCGACCATGTTTCTTCGGGTTACGGGCAAGATGATGCCCCCCCATAAGTGATCTGGTATGATCGAAATAAGTTCCCCTGGCGGGCTGATGCAGTGTGATGACTGTCACAGAGCTTAAGGTTGTCATACAGTCTCAGAGAGGTATTCCTTGCAAAAAGATACACAGCTACCGATTTGATGTCTGCACATATGGCATGGGGTCAGCTTTTGATTGTATTGTTGGTAACTAGAGGATGATCCTTCTTGACTGTCTGTCAATCCATGAATATCTGTCATCTCCTCGTTATTCGCCCCTTCCTGTCTCCTTGTCACAAAGATCCCTTTGACCTTATTACGGGCTGATTGGAACGTCGGAGTTTGTCTCATCCATTTTCACAAGGCTAGTCACATGCAGAAGACAACAACGGCGAGAATTGCACCCATCAGCGACATAGCTACCTGCTTTCCTATGGCATTGTTGCGCGGGGTGCTCGAAATCACACTGTTGTCGGCCTGAGAACGAGTAGCGTAGTCACAGTCACACTTGCAAGTAACAGCGGTGAGAGCCTCGGTTACAATCAGCGTCACTGTCACTGTCTCAGTTCCGTTTGAGTAACTGGTTGAATTTCCAGGACGAGGGGGAATCTGGATGCCAGTGGCTGTCGGGATGTGGGTTCCAGTCCTAGCAGCAGTCAGGAGTTCAGTCGTTGGGGTGTTTTGGATGCTGGTAGGGGTGAGGCTCGAGGTTCCAGTCGCGGTAAGCTGATCGGTTGTGGCAGGCTGGTTGGTTGTGGTAGGCTTTCCAGTATCAGTCATGCGCAACATCGCAGGGTAGATTCCGGTGCTTGGATTGCCGGTTCCGGTGACAG